CAGATCCCATCACATGACCCCACCAGAGAACAGATCCCATCACATGACCCCACCAGAGAACAGATCCCGTCAAGTGACCCCACCAGAGAACAGATCCCATCACGTGAGTCCACTGCACGTGACCGCACCGGAGAACAGATCCCATCACGTGAGACCACCAGAGAACAGATCCCATCACATGACCCCACCAGAGAACAGATCCCATCACGTGAGACCACTGCACGTGACCGCACGGGAGAACAGATCCCATCACGTGAGACCACCAGAGAACAGATCCCATCACATGACCCCCACCAGAGAACAGATCCCATCACATGACCCCACCAGAGAACAGATCCCATCACGTGAGTCCACTGCACGTGACCGCACGGGAGAACAGATCCCATCACGTGAGACCACCAGAGAACAGATCCCATCACATGACCCCCACCAGAGAACAGATCCCATCACATGACCCCACCAGAGAACAGATCCCATCACGTGAGTCCACTGCACGTGACCGCACGGGAGAACAGATCCCATCACGTGAGACCACCAGAGAACAGATCCCGTCACGTGACCCCCACCAGAGAACACATCCCATCACATGAGTCCACAGCATGTGACCGCACCGGAGAACAGATCCCATCACATGAGTCCACTGCACATGACCGCACGGTAGAACAGATCCCATCACGTGAGTCCACTGCACGTGACCGCACGGGAGAACAGATCCCATCACGTGAGACCACCAGAGAACAGATCCCATCACATGACCCCCACCAGAGAACAGATCCCGTCACGTGACCCCCACCAGAGAACACATCCCATCACATGAGTCCACAGCATGTGACCGCACCGGAGAACAGATCCCGTCACGTGAGACCACCAGAGAACAGATCCCGTCACGTGAGACCACCAGAGAACAGATCCCATCACGTGACCCCACCAGAGAACAGATCCCATCACATGACCTCACCAGAGAACAGATCCCATCACATGACCCCACCAGAGAACAGATTCCATCACATGAGTCCACTGCACATGACCGCACGGTAGAACAGATCCCATCACATGAGTCCACTGCACGTGACCGCACCAGAGAACAGATCCCGTCACGTGAGACCACCGGAGAACAGATCCCGTCACGTGAGACCACAGCACGTGACCGCACCAGAGAACAGATCCCGTCACGTGACCCCACCAGAGAACAGATCCCGCCACGTGACCCCACCAGAGAACAGATCCCGTCACATGACCCCACCAGAGAACAGATCCCGTCACGTGAGACCACAGCACGTGACTGCACCAGAGGATGTATCTTGTCACGTGACCACTCAGAGGGCACATCCGTCACATGAGAACACTGCACGGGACCCCACCAGAGGATGGACCCTGATACGTGAGACAGGAACAACAGCACTGCTTCATGCCCACTCCTGCTCACAGCAATCACCCACGCTTATCTCGGGGCTCTCTGGTGCTCTTCGCTGTCTCCGCTCTTCCTCTCCCTCCCTTTTCCATGTAGGCCCGCGGAGCTTACAGGGTGGTCAGCAGACCAAAACCCAATTATGAACCAGACACACTTTTCTCAAGCTGGACTTTGGAGTCACACAGACATAATCAAAGAGCTAAGTGTTCTCTATGAAAAGTGTTTTGGTTTTGTGATTTCTTCATGAAAATAATCCTGGAAGTTTTCAAACAAGTTGCTGGGGATGTGGTTCAAGCAGCAGAGCAGCTGTCTAGAAAGTGCAAGGTTATGAGTTCAAAGCTCAGAGCTGCTAAATTGTTAATATTACCAGCAAAGTCAGTGTTGTCATTTTCATTTAAACACAGTGCAGCCAAGTCAGACTAACTGTGATTGGCCAAGGAGAAAACGAGCAGAATTACCATGCAATGACTCCCTGTGCTAGCTGAAGGACAATACAATATACCTTTATAGTAATCAGAATGGTGACTGGATTATCTGAATTATCATTTGAACCACAAGTGATTAGAATTGCTAATTAACATATTCACTGATAGCCTTGATTAATTCAACAAAAAAGCACTTGCCATACTAGCTAATGTAGATTTGGGTTTACTACATTTGCAATTTTGAATGTTTTGTACACATACATAGCCATAAGCAAAGGACTATATATGCAGACTTGAGTAGTCAAACCAAGTGATCACTAAGGATCTGTTAAATGCGACTTTAATAGAACTTGAGCCAGGTGTGTGTAGTATGTCTATAATCCTAGTACTGGGAAGGCCACAGCAGGACAATTTCAGGTTTACACTTGTCATCCCAGCTACACAGGAAACATAAATAGGAGGATTGCTGTCCAGCCCAGCCTGGGAAAAAAGTGAGGCTCTAACTGAGAAATAAATTAGGCAAAACGGAGTGGAGCCATGGCTCAAGTGATGGAGGCACCTGCCTAGCATGAAGCCCTGAATTCAACCTCAGCACAATAACCATAGTCGGTACACTTCCCAGGACCTCTGTGTGAGGGATATTTTAAAGGGATTCCTAAATTATGCAAGGGATTGAATTCTAGTTATACACAAACACACAATGCATACAACTGTACATTAGAACGTATTCTTTTAAAGTAGACATTTGATGGACAGCTGAGACAGAGATCAGAAATATCTGCAGTCTACGGCAATCTGAAAGTCATGAATGCCTTTCCTTCAAGTGTTGGCAAACTTTTGTAATAAGCCACAGAATAGTTTTTGTGGACCCCGGGGGTGGGAGGGTTGTATTTAAAGAAGACCATCATCCTTCAGCGTTCACCCATCCACTTCTCCCCACTCCTCTCAGCCTAACCAAGGCCACCTATGTAAACACCTGTGATGGCAGATTGCGATGCGAACCAGAGAAGATTGCCTGGACTCAGGGAAGAAAATTCCTGAAATCCTCAGCCCAGTCTCTGTCTGTCTGCCTGCCTATCTATTATCCATCTATCCTCTTTTTATTTTTTTGTGGGTCGTGGGGCTTGAACTCTGGGCCTGGGCGCTGTCCCTCAGCTTTTCAGCTCAAGGCTAGCGCTCTACCACTTGAGCCACAGCACCACTTCTAGTTTTCTAGTGGTTTATTGTAGATAATAAGAGTCTCACAGACTTTCCTGCCCGGGCTGGCTTTGAACCTCGATCCTCAGATCTCAGCCTCCTGAGTAGCTAGGATGACAGGCGTGAGCTACCAGCGCCCGGCTATCCTCTGTATCTATCATTTTTTCCTAGTGTGATAGGAAATATAGAAAACTTTATAGTTTCTCCTTAACTCTTCTAAAACATTATCCTAAATAGGATGCGTTGCTTTTCTCTTTTCTTTTTTTTTTTCCAGTCGTGGGGCCTGATCTCTGGGCCTGGACGCTGCCCCTCAGCTCTTCAGCTCAAGGCCAGTGCTCTACCACTTGAGCCACAGCCCCACTTCTGGCTTTTTCTGCTTCTGTGGTGCTGAGGAATCGAACCCAGGGCCTCATGCATGCAAGGCAAGCGCTCTACCACAGAGTCACCTTCCCAGCCCATGATGTGTTGCTTCTGAGTGGGGGACCTGGTGCAGGGTGGGCTGTGGTAGCAACCCGGGGCTCTACCACGGAGTCACCTTCCCAGCCCATGATGTGTTGCTTCTGAGTGGGGGACCTGGTGCAGGGTGGGCTGTGGTAGCAACCCAGGCCCAGGGTTGTTCATGCACATAGTGAAGCAGATTTAGATTGTGAAAGGACAACATACCCCAACCTAGGAACTCGGGCTACTGCTCACTCAGTAACCTTTCCCACCCTGGAGGATGACGAAAGCACAAGGTGTGTGACGTGTGCAGGCCAGAGGGGCAGAGGACCGGCTGGTACCCGGACTGGTCCCTGGCAGCACCCTGGGCCCCCAGCCCGGCCCCCGGCCCCAGCTGCAGTGGCTCCAGGCGGGCTCGCCCCCCCTCCCGCTGCACCCCGGCTCCCGGCCCCGCACACCCCCCGGCTGCACCTGGCCCCCGGCCCGGCACCCTCTCCGGCTGCACCCCGGTCCCCGGCCCGGCATCCCCCCCCCCCCCCCGGCTGCACCCCGGCCCCCGGCTGCACCCGGCCCCCGGCCCGGCACCACCCCCGGCTGCACCCCGGCCCCCGGCTGCACCCCGGCCCCCGCCGCACCCCCCCCCCCCGCTGCACCCCGGCCCCCGGCCCGGCCCCCCCCCGGCTGCACCCCGGCCCCCGGCCGGCACCACCCCCGGCTGCACCCCGGCCCCCGGCCCGGCACCCTCTCCGGCTGCACCCCGGCCCCCGCCGGCACACCCCCCCCCCCGGCTGCACCCCGGCCCCCGGCCTGGCACCCCCTCCGGCTGCACCCGGCCCCCGGCCCGGTCCCCCCCCGGCTGCACCCCGGCCCCCGCCGGCACCCCCTCCGGCTGCACCCGGCCCCCGGTCCGGCCCCCCCCCCGGCTGCACCCCAGCCCCCGCCGGCACACACCCCCGGCTGCACCCCGGTCCCCGGCCTGGCCCCCGCCCCCGGCTGCACCCCGGCCCCCGGCTGCACACCCCCCCCCCCCGGCTGCACCCCGGCCCCCGGCCGGCACCACCCCCGGCTGCACCCCGGCCCCCGGCCGGCACCACCCCCGGCTGCACCCCGGCCCCCGGCCGGCACCACCCCCGGCTGCACCCCGGCCCCCGCCGGCACACCCCCCCGGCTGCACCCCGGCCCCCGGCCCGGCCCCCGCCTGGCACCCCCACGTTGTCCTTCAAGGTCAGCGCCCCAGCCCCAGGCCCGCCGCCCGGCCCCGCGCCGCCCCATCCTCCGCAGGTGTCCGGCCCGGTGGTGCCGGCCCCGCCGCCCCGGCCTCCCGCGGCCCAGTCCCCCCGAGGGCCGGCGGCCTCCCGCGGCCTCCTCCCCGGCGCGGCCTCGGCCTCCGCCCGCAGCGCCGCCCGCCAGGCCGCTCGCGCCGCCCCGCTCTCCCGCGCCGGGCGGCGGCCCCCGCGACCTCTCGCCCCCGCGACCCCTCACCCCCGCGACCTCTCGCCCCGGCCCCGCGCGGCCGCCCCGGGCCTCACCCGCGACAGGGTGAGGTCGGTCATGAGCTGCTCGAAGGCCCGCGTCTCCTCGGCCTGCCGCTGCGTGTGCAGCGCGATCTTCTCGCTGAACTTCCGCGGGTTGGCGCCGCCCGAGCCCGGCGACGCGGCCATGGCGGGCCCGGCGCGAGCAGCAGCCGAGGCGGCGGGCGCGGGCCGCCCGTCCGAGCCGCGGCCCGAAGCCTGCCGTCCGGCGCCACGGGCTGAGGAGCCGCCGCGGCCCCGGCGGGAGCGCGCCGGAGGCCCCGCCCCGCGCAGGCCACGCCCATGTGCGTGGCCACGCCCCCGCGGGCCCACGCCCGAGTCCTCGAAGCCCCGCCCCCGGCCCGGCGCCGCCTAGCCCGGCCTCCAGCAGGGCGGCCTCGTCTCAGCCCGGCCTGGCCCCCTGGCGCCCAGCCTTGGGTCCTGAGCCCTGCCTCCAACCAGACAGCCTCCTCCAGGCCGGACCCTGGCCCAGCCTCCAGCCGCTCTGAGCCCTGGCTGGGCAGGAAGACCTCCATCCCCGGGCTGGATCTCTAGTCCTAAGCCTGGTCTCCAAGCCCGAGGCCAGCCTCAAGCTGCTGGCCTCCCTCTGATTCCTTCTGGGCTTCCAAGGCCCCAGCCTTGAATTCAGCCACCAACTAGGCCCACACTGGCAGACAAATCTGAGAGACTCTTACCCAGCAAAATGCTGGAAGAAGAGGTGTGGCTCAAGTGGTGGAGCACCAAACAGGAGCACTGGTGAGGCCTTGAGTTCAAGATGCGGCACGGAGGGAGGGAAAGAGGAAAGGTGGGAAAGAGGGAGGGTAAGCCATTGTAGAGTAGGTGCTGGTTGAGGAGGGCTCACCTTGCTCACCGCCCCCCTCCCGCCATGGTTTCAGGGGAGGGAGAGGAGGTCAGGTGTCTCTGGTGGTGAAACAAGATGAAGTAAGGAAACTGAGGCCTGGTGAAGGCACCAGAAATGGAGAAACACCATCTTTGCTTCCAAAAGAGACCACATCCTCAAGGTGCCCTTCTCCCCAGGGATTAACAAACCGAACACTGGAGCTGAGCGTTCTTATCTGGACACTCAAAAGATAGCATCCACTGTGGCCAGAACAAAGACCCAAAACCCAGATTTGCATAACTTTACCATGGAAATACCCCAACTGCCCAAGCCGCTGTGCTTCTCCCTATGAGGGCACCCATACTCTGTAGAGTGGGCCCTCCCCTCCTTGTCTGCTTGCCTGCTTGGTTACTAACTCGATAAACCTCTGCTAAGTTTTGTTTCCTTCCTTCCTTCCTTCTTTCCTTCCTTCCTTCCTTCCTTCCTTCCTTCCTTCCTTTCCTTCCTTCCTTCCTTTTTTATTTATTTTGCCAGTCCTGGGGCTTGAACTCAGGGCCTGGGCACTGTCCCTGAGCTGCTTTTGCTCAAGGCTAGCGCTCCACTAACTTGAGCCACAGCTTCACTTCCAGCTTTTTCTGTGTATGTGGTACTGAGGAATCGAACCCAGGGCTTTATGCATGCTAGACAAGCACTCCAACACTAAGCCACCTTCCCAGCCCCTCTGCTAAGTTTTCTTATTATCAAATGACTTGTCCAGAAATTGTTATTCTGTGATCAGAGTCAAGGACACTAAGCGAAGAGTTCTTGGTTAAAGGGGAGCTTCCCTAAACCTCACCTCGGTCCCTGGCAGTGGGACCAGAGGTTTGGCTCTGCTCAGCTCAGGGCCCTGTGAGATTCTCTGCTCCTGGGTTCTGAGTGCGATTACCTCAACACAGTGCAGTTTATGCTGGTTTACCCTTGGTAGATCAATATTATATGTAAATACTTAAATATAAGCCCTGTAGAGTTCCATTTTGGTGCATCTCAGATTTCTCTCAATTCGTCACCAGTGGCTTCCTCAACCATCAGAGCCACGGGGGGCGGGGGGGGGGGGGCTGCGAGATGCCAGCTCTCAGGGGAAGCCACCTTGCTTCCGCAGCAGCGCTTCCTTCCTTCTGCTCCCCGCAGCAGGTCGCTCAGGCGCCGGGTCTGCCCGGCCTCCGCCCGGCATCTCCTGCCTTCTGACCTGCGCATCTGGTGTCCCAGGTGACCAGCTTCCGGGGTGGGGGTTAGGGGGGTGTCTGGGAGAGAATCTCTGAGACTTTTGCCCCTCAGGAGGGGCTGCACTGGGCAGTGCCATTCTCTCTTCCTCTCCCTCCCTCCCTCTCCCTCCCTCCCCCTCCCTCCCTCTTCCTCCCTCTTCCTCCCTCCCTCCCTCCCTCTCCCTCTCTCTCCCTCTCCCCCTCTCTCTCTCTTCCTCTGTCTCTGTCTGTCTGTCTCTGTCTGTCTGTCTCTCTCTCTGTCTCTGTCTCTCTCTCCCTCTCCCCCTCTCTCTCTCTTCCTCTGTCTGTCTCTATCTGTCTGTCTCTCTCTCTCCCCCCCCAGCCGGCAGCGTGGGTGCCACCTGCGCTGCGCTGGCAGTGAGTGCCACCTGCGCTGCACTGGCAGTGTGAGTGCCACCTGCGCTGCGCTGGCAGCATGAGTGCCACCTGGGCTGCGCTGGCAGTGTGAGTGAGTGCCTCCTGCGCTGTGCTGGCAGTGTGAGTGAGTGCCTCCTGCGCTGCGCTGGCAGTGTGAGTGCCACCTGCGCTGCGCTGGCACCGGAGCCTTCACATTCTGTCCCTTGCCTTCGCAGGTCACCGGTGCTGGCTTTTGTTTTCTGCTATTCTCGGAAGGCTGCTGTTTGCTGTTCTGCTAGGTCACGCGCTGGCGTGGGTCTTTTGTTTTGTTATTGTTCGTGGGGCCGTGGGGGCGTGTGGACGGACCAGAAACTCCAGCCACAGTGCTGTAGGCTTTTTGTTTTTGTTTTTCCTCCCCATAGACTTTCCTCCAACTTCTGGTGATCCCGACTCTCCTTCAAGTTCTAATGAAGACAGACATTAAATATCTGTGGGGTTTGTGTTTCTAGAAAGAAAATGTGCTTTCTGTCTGTCTTTGCTTGGGGCAGTACTGGGCATTGAACTCAGGACTCAGGCTGGGCAGATGCTCTACCTTTAAGCCCCACCCCCAGCCCTCTTGGCTTTAGGTTATGCTTTAGATAGGGTCTCATGCATGTCCTTGGGCTGACATCCTCCTCTTCCATCAGTGGGACCACGGGTGTCCTCTGCCACCTCTGGCTTCTTGGCTGAGATGAGGGTCCTTCCTTCCTTCCCTCCCTCCTCCCTCCCTCCCTTCTTCCTTCCTTCCCTCCCTCCCTCCTTCCTTCCTTTTTTTTTTCTTGTCGGTCGTGGGGCTTGAACTCTGGGCCTGGGCGCTGTCCCTCAGCTCTTCAGCTCAAGGCGAGCGCTCTACCACTTGAGCTACAGCGCCACTTCCGGTTTTCTGGTGGTTTATTGGAGATAGGAGTCTCACGGTCTTTCCTGCCCGGGCTGGCTTTGAACCGCGATCCTCAGATCTCAGCCTCCTGAGTAGCTAGGATTACAGGCGTGAGCCACCAGCGCCCGGCCCTCCCTCCTTCCTACCTACCTTCCTTCCTCCCTCCCTCCCTTCTTCCTTCCTTTCCTTCCTTCCTTCCTCCCTCCTCCTTCCTTTCCTTCCTTCCTCCCTCCCTCCTCCTTTCCTTCCTTCCTTCCTTCTTTCTTTCTTTTCTATCTTCCTTGCCAGTTCTGGGGCTTGAACTCAAGGCCTGGGCTCTGTCCCTGAGCCTCTCTGTGCTAGTACTATACCACTTGAGCCACAAGCCACTTCCAGCTTTTTCTGTATATGTGGTGCTGAGGAATTGAACCCAGGGCTTCATGCATGCTAGGCAAGCAGTCTACCACTGAGCCACCTTCCCAGCTTTGAGGGTCTTACTTTCTGCCCAGGCTGGCCTTGAATTGTAGTCCTTCTGATCTCTCCCTCCTGAGTAGCTAGCATGAAAGACCTTCTGAAAACATAACTCTTTATTCTGTGCCAGAGATTGCTGGTTGTCTCCAATATCCATTCTCCCTTCCTTCCTTATTAGTGGGAATCCTGGGGTGGGGCCAGCTACAACCACTGTTTTCCATGATCCTCGCTCCCAACCAGATATGAACCAAGTCACCTGCGGAGCGTGCCCTTTGACCTCTCCTCTCCTCCACACCTGGAATGTGGATGTGGCAACTGCTCCAGTGTTACTGTCTTAGGCGGCTGGGTGGAAAGTATGTGTGTGCACGGGAGCTTGGCGGCCTGGCCGGGAAGCGCAGCGTTCTGTGACTGCGGCTCACGATTGGCCAAGAGATAAGCATCGTGGGTGGAAAACCCGGTTATTACTTTGGCCTTTGTTACAGGAACTGAACAAGACCTGCTGCACTTAAATAGAAAAACTCTTATAAGCCTATTGAGATACAGCTAGCCATTGTTGACTTATGGGATACAGGCACCTCAGGGGATTCAGTGGCACCTACCCAGGTCTCCATGCGGCCGTGCCCTCTCCTTCCCTGTGTGGACTTGCTTGAGGGGGGGGGAGCAGCACTGGGGCTGGCAGAGTGCTTGGGCAAGGTCCCGCTGAGCTGGGCTCTGGGCCCGATAATGTGACACTGGCTAAGCAGCTGGGCTACCACGCTGGCCATTTCCCCAGCCCTTGGCCATGCCAGTTATTCCAGCCGGACTGCGCAGCCCCGTTTGTGCTGCCCAGATGAGCCAGTCTCAAGCTTCATAGTCAGCAGCGCAGCGGCTCTGCTGGCATTATTCTTTATTATAAAGGGAAAAAATGAAAGCTTTTTCCTTTTTCTTTTTCTTTTTTTGGGTCTGGTCGTGGGGCCTGAACTCTGGGCCTGGGCGCTGTCCCTCAGCTCTTCAGCTCAAGGCTAGCGCTCTACCACTTGAGCCAAAGCACCACTTCTGGCTTTTTTCTTTTTGCTTATGTGGTCTGAGGAATCAAACCCAGGGCCTCATGCATGCAAGGCATGGGCCACTGGGCCACCTTCCCAGCCCTATCTTTTTGATGATTGTGGGGCTTGAACTCAGGGCCCGGGCACTGTCCTTGAGCTCTTTTGCTCAAGACTAAAGCTCTACCACTTTAAGCCACAGCTCCACTTCCTGTTTTCTGGTGCTTCATTGGAGATAAGAGTCTCACAGCCTTGCCAGGCGCTGGGTGACTCATGTTTAATCCTAGCTACTCAGGAGGCTGAGATCTGAGGATCGCAGTTCAAAGCCAGCCCGGGCAGGAAAGACCGTGAGACTCCTATCTCCAATAAACCACCAGAAAACCGGAAGTGGCGCTGTAGCTCAAGTGGTAGAGCGCTCGCCTTGAGCTGAAGAGCTGAGGGACAGCGCCCAGGCCCAGAGTTCAAGCCCCACGGCCACCACCACCAACAAAAAAGTCTCACAGGCTTTCCTGCCCAGGCTGGCTTTGAACCTCGATCCTCAGCTCTCAGCCTCCTGAGTGCATGGCAGCTAGGATCACACGGCGGGTGAACCATGGCAACCCAGCCAGCAGTGTCTTCATCAGAAAAACTTAAAGCCAAGAGCTGGTGCCAGAGGCTCCCATATGTGACTGTGGCTATTCAGGAAGCTGAGATCTGAGAATCAGAGTTCGAAGCCAACCTAGGCAGACAAATCCAAGACTTATCTCCAGTCAACTAGCAAAATGCCAGAAGTAGGGATGTGGCTCAAGCAGTAGAGTACCAGGCCCTGAATTCGAACTCCAGTACTGGCATAAAAGAACAAGAGGGGCTGGGAATGTGGCTTACTGGTAGTGTTTGCCTAGCATACATGAAGCCCTGGAAGTGGTGCTCTGGCTCACGTGGTAGAGCGTTCTCCTTGAGCACAGAGAGGCTCAGGGACAGCATCCAGGCCCTGAATTCAAGCCAGGACTGGCAAAAAGAATTAAAAACAACAACAACAACAAAGAACAAGAAGGAAAGTTCTAACTAGGGGTAGGTTCAACCAACTTCCTGGGGAAGACACTGCACAGGCAGTCTTACCAATTCCAGGGCTGCCAGGCCCCCGGGGAAGCCGCCCTTGGGCAGGGTGTCCCAGGGCTGCTGCTGAGTGGAGACCTCCACGCACCGTGTTGGCATGTGGGCATGCTCAGTTCCAGGGTTCTTTCCCAGTACCAGTAAATAACTACTTCCTAAATATCGTGAGACCTTGCCCACCTCTTTCTATCCTAACCCAATTCAGGCCACCGAATCTCTCCCTAATTGAGCCCCTAATTGGAGCACTAGTGTGGCGGCCTGCGCCCTGCAGGAGACAGGAGCCACACTCAACCCAGTAATTTGCAGAGAAGTTAATTAAGCGAGGGGGTGATGCAGCGGCCTTGGTTCCCGCAGGCCTCGTTAGCATGCTCAGCCTGGGGACAGGGCAGCCTTGGAGGCAGCCACTCCACAGGGCCCCGCAGAGCAAACCCTAACCTGGCCCAGGCTTGGGGGGTGCCGCCCATTGGCCAAACCCAACCAGAAGCTGCTGGGCATCGCTCATGCGTTGTCTGTGCCCCAGACCATTCGGGGCGCAGAGGAGGGGCAGGGCTCTCCCGTCCCTAAAGCCCTCAGACCCCTTCTTGTTAGGCTAGCACTCTGCCACTTGAGCCACAGTTCCATTTTCAGCTTTTTGGTGGTTAATTTCTGGTCTCACAGACTTTCCTGCCTGGGCTGGCTTTTTTTTTTTTTGGTCGGCCGTGGAGCTTGAACTCTGGGCCTGGGCGCTGTCTCTCAGCTCTTCAGCTCAAGGTGAGCGCTCTACCACTTGAGCCACAGCACTACTTCCGGTTTTCTAGTGGTTTATTGGGGATAAGAGTCTCATCAACTTTCTTGCCCAGGCTGGCTTTGAACTGTGATCCTCAGACCTCAGCTTCCAGAGTAGTTAGGATTACAGGCGTGAGCCACTGGTGCCCGGCTTTGAAGCACAATCCTCAGATCTGTTTCCTGAGTAGCTAGGACTACAGGTGTGAGCCACTGGCGCTCTATTTGTGGTTTTTAATGATCAAATCTCACTTGAGTTAATGTTGTCTAGTAAGAACTGCTAACAGTAAGAACTGCTAACAGTGAAACAGAGAATGGGAACAAATGACCTTTTATTCAAAGTAACCGTCAAACGTGCAGTCAGATGCTGGGGAGGAAGGAAATTCACTTAAATGTCATGATGGCCAAGGAGAAGGTCAGGGGAGAGGGGACAGAAGCCACAGCTAATAAACAGGAGGAAGCGCGCGCGGCTGGCCCGGTCCAGCATGGAGGCCTTGGGGAGTCAGGAGGCTTGGTGTGCAAACACTTGGATTTTGCGGGAGTGTTCTGCCTGAGGCTGTGTTCCGAGACCTACAATCCTTCCAAGTCACGGAAGCAGCCCGTGGCTCGGCAGTCGGAAAGGGCGTTTTTAGAAAACACCTTCTGTGTCTCAGATTTGAGGCCGCGCATCTTTCTTTTTCTTCCTGAGTCAGGATCTTGCTCTGTAGCCCCTGGCTCACCTTTTACAGCCCTCCTGCCTCTGCCTCCTGAGATCCGGGACTACAGGTGTGTGCCACCAGACCCAGCTTAATGTGAGACAAAGTGAAAGCAAGGTGATGGCCACTCCTCCCCACGGGCTATGCCCGCAGCCAGACGTCCGCCATGACCAACACCTCTCCAAGACTTCCCTTTGGAATAGGGACACAGCACATGATTTGTGATGAATTTAAGTTTATTGGCCTCAAATATACATCAGTAAAAATGTCAATGTTAGTTTAACTTTTGGGTTTTAGAAGAGAACACTGAACCAAAACATCAGAAAAACTGGAGGCTCAGTAGCATGATTTACCTAGTTTTCTTTTCTTTTTTCTTTTTTTTTTGTCGGTCGTGGGGCCTGAACGCTGGGTCTGGGCGCTGTCCCTCAGTCATTCAGCTCAAGGCTAGCGCTCTACCACATGAGCCAAAGCGCCACTTCCGGCTTTTTCTGCTTATGTGGTGCTGAGGAATCGAACCCAGGGCCTCATGCATCAAAGCAAGCATTCTACCTCTGAGCCACCTTCCCAGCCCCTACCTAATTTTCTTGGATGTACAGGTTAAAAAAAAAATGTGGCTTTTTATCCAAGAACAAAAGCTTCTAAATTCAATATTTAGAAATGATTTTGCTTAACAAACAAGGGTTCATAAAATAAAAGGCACAACTGTGGGCAGCCAGACGGAAGTAGGAAGAAGTTTTGATTTTTTCTGGGTTGACTGAGCTTCTTCAAGGATTGTCTCTGCAATCCTGAAGGTAAAAAATCCTTGAATTCAGATATACAGATAAACCATTTAAAAAATAATCCTTTTTCTCAGTATTTGAAAGGCTTTTGAAGCATTATTTAAATCTTGAGATACCTATCACTCACATTTTAAGAAATAAGTCTATGCTTTAATAAGGCACTCTTGACAAAAGGTTTGAAACAATTCCGTTCTATTTCTGGACAGCTCCTTGCTGTGGGGAGGGGGCTGTCTGGGAGCTCACCCCCGTGCACCCCTTTCTACTAGTGAGGGCATCAGGCCAATAGCCCCACCCATGGCTGGCAGTGAAGGGAGAACCAGTATTTCTTCTCTGAACACAGTGGTGACGTCGTGCACGAGCTTCTGCCCCCAGAAGAAACAGAGGAAAAAGAATGGGAGAAAAATGAGAGCCTCATGCTGCAATGACACCAGTACCTGCTGATAGCCGATGGTTTGTTTCCTTGTGTTTCGGTGGGTGTTATTGGTACTGATCGCGCCCACCTGTGAATAATGAGGATCTCCATGTTATTGCTAAGTAAAAGACACAGAGCTCACAGTGCAGTGATGGAGAGGTAGCGCGCTCTCTCTGCCCACAGTGATGGAGGAAGACAAGGAGCAGGAGACTACGCCTGTAACAGTTCACTAGAAGAGGGTGACTGGTCCTGTCTGGATGAAAGGAGTTACAAAAGGGGCACGGGGAGCCTATCAGATTGGGGCACCCTGGTGGGCTAGGTCTTTGCTTCCGAGGAGTAGAGGCATCCCAGAAAGGCAGCGGCGAAGTTCTCTTTCCTTCATGTTCCTGGGCTGGCGGCAAACGGCCATTACTTCCCGTAGAACTTCTTGTTGAGAAGGAAGATGAGAAGGTTGACATTCACTTTAGCTTTATCAAACAACTTCATGACCGCAACACCTTCGTACTGCAGCTGCAGCAGGTCCTGTGCAGAAACGACAGCACTGTTACTGTCCGGCTTGGGGAGGAAGGAAGGGAGCGGTGCAGCGGGGGAGCAGCGCCTCTTGCACCCCAGGGAAACGGGGTGGGCGGAGGAGCCCGACACAGAGCGGAGGAGCCGACACAGGGCGGAGGAGCCCGACACAGGGCGCGCTGCCCGCTGGCGGGGCGGGACCCGCCGGTTAACTTGGCATCGGGGACTCATTTTGTTTGTATTCAAACACATCAAAGATGGAAAGCAAAAGCAAGTATGTTCAGTTAGAACACACTTAGGGTTCACACTCATAATGACGGAGGCTGGGAAGATGGCTGCCTGAGGCCAGCGCGGGCACACGTGCAGGACTCTTTCTCCACCAGAAGTGGGCAGGGCACAGGGCATCTCAGCTAGAGAGTGCTCAGAATAACGGAGTTTTAGACGCCTAACAGTCGGATTCCAGTCCAGGTACATGCAACAAAAGAGACCCCCACCTTAAAAATAATCACAGCAAAATGACTGGGGGTGTGATTCAAAGGTAGAGTGTGTGCGTAGCAAACATGAAACAGTTCACATACCCGACCAGCCCAACGGTACACAACCCACTCCCACATTTTGTCTTTCTGTTCTTTTTTGGTACTGGGGATCGAACCCAGGACACAGCCCCCGCGAGACAAGCGCTTTGCCACTGAGCCTGCATCCCAGCCCTCACCCCGCATTTGTTCCTACAAATACCCACATAAATGACAGGAGCAATGGTGATGGTCCCCATTTTGGCTAGCACCCGTGGAAAAGCAAGCAACATTGCTATTCCTCACCTCGCAGACCAGTGCTGGCCGTGCAGCTCCGCTCCCTTCCCTACTACATCGCTTGCAGCTTCTCACCGAGGTGCTCTAGGGGCCGGACCCCGGGAGACACACACTCTACCACGGGGCTGCGCGCAGCCTACTAAATTCTACTCCGTGTGACAAAGCTTTACTACATTGAAGGTAAAGGAAAAGGAAGGACTAAATGTTTACCAGATGCCTACTGTGGGCTTCGGATTGAATTGTGTCTGCCTGCCTGCCTTCTTTCTTTTTTTTTGTTGGTTGTGGGGCCTGAACTCTGGGCCTGGGTGATGTTCCTCAGCTCTTCAGCTCAAGGTTAATGCGCTCTACCACTTGAGCCATGGTGGCACTTCTGGCTTTTTCTGCTTGTAAGGTACTGAGGAATCGAATCCAGGGCCACCTTCCCAGCCCAAGTCGTGTCTTTCTAAGAGTCCAGAATGCCTCCAGCTTCACAGATGAGCTCCCAAGGCTGGGTGTGAAGCGGGAGGCCTGACCACAGAGCCTGCACTGTGTGCAGTGGGTGCCAAGGGGAGCCGGACCCCTGGAGATGGAGCCTGTGGCTCGGCTGGAGGTGGTGTGGTGATACACCTGCTGGCCTGGCCACAAGAGGTGCGAGGGAGGCAGGGCGCCCAATGAAAGGAGCCGCATGTACAAAGCCAAGGGCTTGTTTCCAGAAAGACACCGGCCTGACAGGGTGTGTGTAGGGGTCAGGTCCCAGCTGTGGGACAAGCTGGCTTCCATCCTGGCGCAGCAAAAATCTAATTAGGCCTAGAAAGTGGTTCAGACTCAAAGCTGCCTGGATGTCGCTTATGAATCCTCTCAATGTGCTGACACTCTTTAATGTTTAAAACTTAGATATTTAAAAATGAAAACTAAGGCTGATTATGTTACCAAAACAAAAATCACTACAAAGTTCTTTTTCAAGCGGAGTTCCATTTACGAAGATACAATTCACATACACACTGCTAACCACGGAAGTACCTGTGTCAAATCGAAATGAGAAGGAAAGAGATTTGAAGCCACTGAGCTTTGACAGCTTCCAGTGGTCAAGTCCAGTCCAAGGCACTGGCTGGGCTGGACGGGATGGCTGTCCCCTGGGGCTGTGAGCCTGGGACTCCCCCCCACGGCTTTGCTCTACTCACGCAAACCCACCTGATAATGCAACATAAACGTCTCCATCTGCACGCCCATGAATTTGGCTTTCACCTCAAAGTCTCCAACTTCTTCCGTTGGACTGATTTCAAAGATAACATTTTTAAACCTGTTGAAACAGAACGTGATTTCTTCTCATGGAACAGGTCTAGTAGGAATCAGGTCTTGAGGGGGACTGGGGCAGGTGAAGCAGGTACCCCTGCCCCCACGCACACGCCACTGGGGAATGGCACACACTGTGGCCCTGGCCTTTCTCCTGCGCTGATGAATGGTCACGATAAAGGGAAATGGAGGCCGGGCACTGGTGGCTCACGCCTGTCATCCTAGCTACTCTGGAGGTTGAGATCTGAGGATCATGGTTCAAAGCCAGCCCGGGCAAGAAAGTCCATGAGATATCATCTCCAATTAACCACCAAAAAAGCCAGACATAGAGCTATTATAGCCCAAGTGGTAGAGTGCCAGCTTTAAGCAAAAAAAAAAAAAAGCTCAGGCCAAGTTAAAGCCCCATGACTGATGGAAAAAATAAAAAGGGAAATGGCGGAAAGTGGCTGGGAGGAGAGAGAAGGGAGTGTGTGCGCTGTGCTTGCTCATTTGTGGACTGGGAGGGTGAGAAGGAAAACCAAGGGGGCCAGGGAAAGAGAGCAAGAGGAGGAGGCTTCCTGCACAGGGGCGCCATGCGGCTGGGTGTCCTGGCACAGAGTGCCCTGGCAGCTGCCGCCGCCGCCACGGTCCCAAGGTGTTACGGGCCGGGAAATCTCACAGTACCAGCAACAAAGTGGGAGTGTGCTGTGCCCCAGGTGAACAAAGTACACCCCAAGATGGCTTATTATGAACCGCTGAGAACCAAGGATGTGCAGGAGGTTGCTGAGAAATGAAAGCTCACAAAACTCATGCACTCAAGTGTGCATGTTACTGAAATGAGACCAATTCCTAAGTCACTTCCTACAGACAGCTTTATGTAGTAATTGATTTTAGTGGATTTGGTTGCTTATCTGGTTTCTAGGCTCACAGCAGCAAATTAGAAAAGGAGCAAAAAGAGCTGAGCATTTGAATAACAGTGGAAAACAATGATAAAAAAGAAATAGACCACACAATGGCTGAGAGCTGTAATCCTCGCTACTCAGGAGGTAGAGGTAGGAGGCTCATATAGTCCAAATTTGGCCTACGCAAAAACTAGTGACCCTACCTGAAAAAATAACTAACACAAAAAAGGCTAGGAGTGTAGCTCAAGTATAGAGTACCTGCCTAGCAAGCAGAGGCCTTGAATTCAAACCCCATGGCCAGGAAAAAAAAACAAAAACAAAACCAAAAAAACCCAGAAAGAAGTAATAACTATTATGAAACAGATCAGAACAAATGTACCAAGTGCTCAACTAAAGAAACTTATAACAGCAAAGTATAGAAACAGAGACTAATCCCCAGTTGAAAAACTGACCAGAGAAAATATAGCTAAGCCATATTTAAAGCAGAAATATAAAATTAAAAAACAAACAAACCAAAAAACACCAAACCCACTACAGTGCTTTTCAACAAGAAACCTAAGAGATGCAAACTTTGAGAAAATACTTTAACATCATAAACGACTCAATGGTTGTGAGGGAGTGCAGACACTTTTGGACAGACGGCAGATGTCTTGGTAGCAGTGGACACAGACCTTCACAGCCACTGTGGACACAGGAAGGCAGCTCCGGGAAGGGGCTTTAGGCTTCACCATGTTCTCTAAGTCCAGTGACCAGCACGCATTTAGAATCAGAAAAAATGTAAGTTTCTTCTTAAACAGAAACAAGAAGAGACCCGTGGGCACCTGGAAGCCACGGCTAGCTGCAGGAAGGTCCAGCCAGTGCGTGCTGAGGCTGCTGGACCAATGACCTGCAGGAAGGCAGGTCAGATGAGTGTGCATACGTGACACAAGCTGCTCTTCCCAGAGAGAAAAAGAGTAAGGCCTGGCACTAGTTTCATATGGAATCATGTAACTATCTTGTACTGTTACCTACTCTGGGGTGAGACTGAAGAAACAGAAGGAATGACTTCCTGCTCTTAAGAGGAAAAATTAAGATGAGGTAACACACAAACGGGAGTGAAAAACAGGCGTGAACATGGGCACAGACTAAGAAAAAAAAATCTGCACTCTGCTTTGACAGATAAATTAACTCTGTGCGTGAAGCTTAAATCTGTACAGGAAAATTTATAAATAATCTATAGTATATGTAAAATAGCCAGGAAAGAGAAATAAAGACAAGAAGAAAAAAAGATGTGATGAATGCAAACTTCAAACCAGCTTGACAAATAAAGCAAGCAAGGTCGGAACTCACTGGTTGACTTGCAGGTCCTCAATCTCCAGGAGAACTCCCTTTTCATGCAGCCTGGCCGCTGTGTATTTCAGTGAGATCTTCTTGCTTTTCTTGCCTTTCATTTCTCTAGGCTTTTTGGAGACCCTGTTTATAACACAAAAATAAATAAATAAAATCCAATACTGAGCCGGGCGCCGGTGGCTCATGCCTGTAATCCTAGCTACTCAGGAGGCTGAGATCCGAGGATTGCGGTTCAAAGCCAGCCCAGGCAGGAAAGACCGTGAGACTCCTATCTCCAATAAACCACTAGAAAACCGGAAGTGACACTGTAGCTCAAGTGGTAGAGCGCTCGTCTTGAGCTGAAGGGCTGAGGGATAGCGCCCAGGCCCAGAGTTCAAGCCCCATGACCGACAAAAAAAAAAAATCCAATACTGTGTAATATTCCCTAAAATATGTTGAAGCACCTAGAGGCCTGTGACCAGTAATCTACGCTTGTGAGTTCTCAGGCCAAGAAGATACACGTTGGGACAAGGGAAGTTTAGAAACAGGTGTTCTTGATCCCGCCCACCCCGCCCATGCACTTTCTGTAAGTGACTATATGCTATGGGTCTATCTTTGAAAACCAAGGACATGAGGTCAGGAGGATCACCCTCAACGTTATTAGTGTAGCATCTCCAGAGCAGCAAACCAATGTGACAAAGCAGGGCTTCTGCTCCGAGGACTTAGCCCGGCACCTGCCTCTATCCTTGGAAAGGAGGGCCTCTGCCAGTAGGGAGAAAACAGTACTAAGTCCCAGGAGGAGCCAAGAACTCTCGGAGCCCCTTAGCAGTGCAGGGGAAGGTGCCTCACAGGAAGTTAAGCCAGGTCAGCAATCTCCACCTCCCCACACTCCTGTAAGAAGACCAGAGCTGGAAGCCTGCAATCTGCAACCCTGGAGGTTCAGGAACGCAATTCTGTGTAATATTCCCTCAAGTATGTGGAAGCACCTGGAGGCCTGCGACCAGTGATCTTCCACGCATGACTCTTCCTTTCTCATGCCAAGAAGATACTTTGGGACAAGGGAAGTTAGAAACAGGGGTTCTTGATCCCGCCCACCCCGCCCCACGTATACCAGACACCAGTGAACGGAACTAGGAATTTACACAAACAATGAGAGCCATCATAACCCATACAATGAAGAGATCCAGGACGTTTTAGGTAAAAATTTGCAGTGTCACATTAGGTGGTGTCTCTACCTCTTTTTCCCAAACCAAGTTCTCTCTCTCTCTTTAAATTTATTTTTAACTTAAAAAAATTTTTTCTTGGTCGTGGGGCTTGAACTCTGGGCTTGGGCACTGTCCCTGTGCTCTTCCGCTCAAGGTGAGCACTCTACCACTTGAGCCACAGCATCACTTCTTTTTAAACCAGTCCTGGGGTTTGAACTCAGGGCCGGGGAGAGGCTTTTTCTGAGTAGTTTATTGGAGATAAGAGTCTCACAGACTTTTCTTCCCAGGCTGGCTTTGAATCTTGATCCTCGGATTTCAACCTCCAGAGTAGCTAGCCTGCCTCCCACCCTAATTCTTTCCCCTGATAATTTTCAAAAAGAAAATGACACTCACTTGCCCTTGCTGGCTAAGTTATCCAAGCAGGTTTTGATGTAGCTTTTGTAGTAGTCCACCTGCTCACCATAGAAGGTGGCCTTTGAGTTCAGAGCAGTGTAGGTTTGTTGCAATTTCACTAGCTCGGCCTTCCTCCTCTGCCGGTATCTCCGTTGATTGCGAATATCCTGAGACACAGTGATCAGAATTAGGAAAATAACAGGTAACGTGTACGTCTCCAATCGTTTTCCCATCATTAAAACCTCTTGATGCATGGCTCTGCCTCAACAACGCATTCTTTTAGCAAGAGTGATTTAGTGGGATGTGGAGCAGGGAAGTAAAGACTCAAAATGGCAGGTCCTATCTGTGGACTATTCATTCTTTTTGGTCGGTCATGGGGCTTGAACTCTGGGCCTGGGCACTGTCCCTGAACTCTTCAGCTCAAGGTTACTGCTCTACCACCTGAGCCACAGAGCCACTTCCGGTTTTCTGGTGGTTAATTGGAGATAAAGACTTTCACAGACTTTCTTGCCTGGGCTGGTTTTGAACCAAGATCCTCAGATCTCAGTCTCCTGAGTAGCTAGGATTACAGGCGTGAGCCACCTGCACCTGGATGAGTATCCATTCTTACCAGCAATGGTGTGTGCTCACAAATTTAAAGAAATTAAGATATTCTATCTGTATCTTTCTAACAACAGAAGTTTCATGTCAGGCTTCCACGTTTATCGAATGGACTTGTAAAGCTGGGTAAGGACTCAAGTGTGCTGTCCAAGGAAGAAGATAAAGAGTAATAATATGTCAACTCCTGGCTTGCTGGGTGTGCAAGGCTTATCAAGTAGGATGACAGAGAATACCCACGAGAGACATGGTGGTACACGCCCATAATGCCAGCACTTGGGAGGCTGAAAAGTGCGAGTTTGAGGCCAGTCTGGACTACTACATAGCAAAGTGAAGGCCATTCTGTGCTACAAGGTAAATGCCTATTTAAAAATCACAACAAAGCAAAAATTAAAACAAGAGCATTAGGCTGGGAATGTGGCTTAGTGGTAGAGTGCTTGCTTAGCATGCATGAGGCACCGGGTTCCATTCCTTGGTACCACATAAACAAAAAATAAATAAAAAAATAATTTAAAAACAAAAAGCAGGGGCTAGAAATGTGGCTCAGTGGTAGAGTGCTTGCCTAGCATACATGAAGCTCTGGGTTTGATTCCTCAGTACCACACATACAGAAAAAGCCAGAAGTGGTGCTGTGGCTCAAGTGGTAGAGTGCTAGCCTTGAGCAAAGGAGGCTCAGGGACAGTGCCAAGGCCCTGAGTTCAAGGCTCAGGATTGGCAAAAAACCAAACCAAACCAACAACAACAAAAAACACCAAAAACACCCCAAAAAACAAAAACAAGAGCACCTCAGAAGTGGAGCTGTGGCTCAAGTGGTAGAGTGCTGGCCTTGAACTAAAAAGCTAGAGCAGAACACATGAGGGCCTGAGTTTAAGCCCCAGTACCAGCACACACAAAAGCCAAAAAACGTTGAGCACCTCACTTGCGATGAACACACAAATTAAGTTGGTTATTCTATGATATATATCATATTACACGTACTTAAAAAACCCAAAGAGTTCTTCAAGGCCAAAGAAAAATTTAGACCAGGAAGTTCTAGAATGTTCTCCCATTAACTTAAGCCATGGGATCAAGGTTCTGGTGCTGGGGAGTCAGACACTAATCTGCCCACAAGCCTAAGCTGAGTTCTCATCTGGTAGCTCTGTCTCTAGGAGCCTCGGACGAAAAGGCCGGGCATGGCTATTCCATGCAGGGCTCCTGTCCGCAGTACCCTGGCAATGTCGTTGATGAGCTCCTGGTATTTGTTCTTTGGGTCCACGGTCCCAAGCTCTGTCAGCTTCTTCAGACCCGTCTGGATCTTTTCCTTCTTCTCCTGGAGACTGAGGTTGCTGTCTTCCTTCACAGAGCGGGACTTTTTCATCTTGTCGGGAGTTTTGGCATCGCGGATGGCGCGTCTTTGCATGGCCCTCTGGTGCTCGGCTTCCTAGTGGAGAAAAAGTCCTTGGCAAAGTCACCACACCAATCCTAGGAAGTAATAGCAGATCTGCCGCCATCTGAATCCACCCATCTCCCAAATCCTGTTCTAGAAATAGAGGGAACAAACTGCACAGTGCCCAGGCAGATCTCTACCGTCCAGCCACAAAAACACTTTTCTCTGGGTTTCCTGGACTTTAGGTACAATAAAACCCTGGACTGTAGGTACAATGAGAGACTGGACTCTGTCTATAAATCCCTCATTTTTCGGGCTGGGAAGGTGGCTCAGTGGTAGAGTGCTTGCCTCACATGCATGAGGCCCTGGTTTCCATTCCTCAGCAATACATTAACAAAAAAAAGCCAGAAGTGGTGCTGTGGCTCGAGTGGTAAAGCGCTAGCCTTGAGCTGAAGAGCTGAGGGACAGCGCCCAGACCGAGTTCAGGCCCCACAATTGACCAAAAAAAAAAAAAAAACCCTCATTTTTCCACGTCTCATTTGGCACGTGGAAACGTCATGGTGTATAAATGTTCTAGAACACTGATGCATTCATCCCACTGAGGTCTCAGCCTCAGCCTTGAGGTGCACAAAGACTCTGCCCTGGCAAGCCCATCTACCTCGGGAGAGAGAAGCAAAACCCTAAACCCACCTGTTCACTGGTGGCTGGTGTTTCTAGGATCTCAGACAAGGTATCTCCTGGCTGGAAACGGATGACATCCACGATTAAACGTTTTGTGCTGCAATGAGAGGCAGGTGCACCTCGCGTGAGCGTGTGCGCGCTCCACAGCCAAGCGCTGCCTCACAGGGCTGGCGGGCAGCCCGAGCCAGAGCCGTGCTGCTTGCAACTCCCAAACGTACACTTCAAGTTTTTATACTGTAAAATAAGGCAGGTAGGTCCTGTGCCACGGACGACATGTGGGCGACCATCCTAAACGTGGATCTAACAGCCTGTGTACCACTTCCTGAATCCATCCAGCTCCCAAACCCCAGGCCAGGCGTGGCCTTGGGGATCCCTCAGCAAAGCTCCCCTCGCCTCCCTGTCTACACCTACTTCAGTAAGATGGCACGGGCGTCCATTTCCACGTTCCCATCTCCGGGCACATCGAACTTGTTGGTCAGGGTGAGAGACACTTCTGTCTTGGCCAGCGCCTCCTTACTTGGGTCATTTAGGCTGCCGCAGCTCTCCCCTGTAGGGTGGCGGGGTAGGGAGGAGGTGAAAGTAGCCCAAATAAGGTGGGTGCAAGTCTAAGATGCCACCTGAATCAGACAGGTCCAGGGTGGCAAGGGCTCCCAGTGAAGAGAGGAGGCAGTGTGCCATGGTGGAGGCAAAGGAGCAGCGCGAGGCCTGGCCGCCGCGTCTGACAGGTCGCCGGGCAGCGGCCCACCCCTCCCGTACTCAGCATCCTCATCACGCAGCTCTTACACTTTGGGTTTCAAACCGTCCATCCCTCCTTTCATTAGACTCCGGCCTTTTAGAGACCCCAAATCTGGTGAGGGCAAAAGCGGAGGAGAGACCTCTCCATCTCCTGCCTGCTCTGGTCCTGGCCGGCAGCAGGGAAGAGCCTTACCCAGCAGGGACTCCATGGTGGGCACCTCGCCGAGGTCATCCAGGAGCTCGTGGATCGGGTCGTTGTGCTCGGGGGCAATGGCGTCCTGGTGGTCCAGCAGGAGCTGAAAGAGCCAGCAGCGCCCCATTGCAACACAATGCCCGCCAGCAGATAAGCGACGCGCCCACCCTCCGACACAAACACCCTCAACCACACGACAATGGATCCAGCAGCTCCAGCAGCTCCGGGGCTCTGGAGGCTATGGAGTATGTCATGATGCACCAAAAAGAAATACTGGTGCTCGGGGGTTGGGGATGTGGCTCAGTGGTAGAGCGCTCGCCTAGCATGCATGAAGCCCTGGGTTGGATTCCTCAGTACCACATACACAAAACAAGCCAGAAGTGGTGCTGTGGCTCAAGTGGTAGAGTGCTAGCCTTGAGCAAAAGAAGCTCAGGGACAGGGCCCAGGCCCAGAGTTCAAGCCCTAGGACTGGCAAAAAAGAAAAAGAAAGAACGAAAGAAAGAGAGGGAGAGAAGGAAGGAGAGAGGGAGGGAGGAAGGGAGAAAGGGAGGGAGGAAGGGAGGAAGGGAGGAAGGAAGGAAGGAAGGAAGGAAGGAAGGAAATACTGGTGGGGTTGGAAAGGTGGCTCAGTGGTAGAGTGCTTGCCTTGCATGCATGAGGACCTGGGTTTGATTCCTCAGCACCACATAAGCAGAAAAAGCCAGAAGTGGTTCTGTGGCTCAAGTGGTAGAGCGCTCGCCTTAAGCTGAAGAGCTCAGAGGCAATACCCAGACCCAGAGTTCCAGCCCCACGACCGACAAAAAAAAAAAAAAAGAAAGAAAGAAAAGAAAAAAAGAAGAAAAAAAAACACTGGTGCTCTTAACCTCATGGCCTAAGGATTCAACTGCACCGAGCAAGAAAGAGCAACGTGACACAAGCTGATGCCAAATGCACCAATGTGTCCTGTAAGTACCTGTCACACAATTCATGCTTAGACTTCTGTGTGATGTCCCAGTGGATAAAACCCTCTTTTATTGTCAATATTAGGGTTTGAACTCAGGGTTTTATGCCTGCTAGGCAGATACTACCAACTGAACGACATCTCTAGCCCTTTATGTTTTCATTACATTTTGGTGGTATCAGGGTATGAACTCAAGGCTTCCTGCTTGCTCAGCTTGCTTGCTTGGTGCTCTGCCACTTGAGCCATGCCTCTGAGTTTTTTTGTCAGTCGAGGAATGCTGTTGTTGAGCTCTGTTACTCAAGGACGGCATTCTACCACTTGGAGCCACAGCTCCACTTCTGGTTTTCTGGTAGTTAATTTGGAGATAAGAAGTCCCGGGGCTTTTCTACCCAGGCTGTCTTTGAACTGTGATCCTCAGATCTCAGCCTCCTGAGTAGCTAGGACTGCAGATGGAGCCACAGGCGCCCGGCGAGCCCAAGTGTTTGCTAGTTTGGAATCTATTGGACTTTCCTGCCTGGGGCTCACTTCTCAGCCCCAGAAGCTGGGATCGCATGAGCCAGCCTCGGGGTCCAACTTGTTTCTGTCTTTTTTGGTCTCTTCGCTGTGCTTCCCATGCAGCTCAGCTGCTAAGACTGTGCCACTACATCTAATTTTTTTTTTTTTTGGTCCGTCATGGGGCTTGAACTCTGGGCCTGGGCACTGCCCCTGAGCTCTTCAGCTCAAGGCAAGCACTCTACCACTTGAGCTACAGCGCCACTTCTGGTTTTCTGGTGGTTTATTGGAGATAAGAGTTTCACAGACTTTCTTGCATGGGCGGCTTTGAACTGCAATCCTTAGATCCCAGCTTCCTGAGTAGCTAGGATTACAGGCCTGAGCCACCGGCGCCCGGCTGATCACTGACTTTTTTTTGCGGGTCGTGGGGCCTGAACTCTGGGCCTGGGCACTGTCCCTCAGCTCTTTAGCTTAAGGCTAGCACTCTACCATTTGAGTCACAGCACCACTTCGGCTTTTTCTTCTTATGTGGTGCTGAGGAATCGAACCCAGAGCCTCATGCATGCAAGGCAAGCGCTCTACCACGGAGCCACCTTCCCAGCTCCTCATCACTGTCTTAATGGAACTAAACAAAGCCTTCACGATGCCTTCACCCCAGGGGAGGCCTAAAAAAAAGATAGCATCTCAACTTCACTTACACTTTCTTTTTATGCAATGCTGGGATTTTGAACTTGAGGCCTTGTTGCTAAATAGGCATTCTACTACTTGAGGCATGCCCCTAGCTCTTCGCTTACAACACTTCAAACACCAGCCTGCGTCTTACGCAGGTGGCCTGGGATAAGCTGCAGAAACCCAGCGGTAGATACAGGGAACACAGGGTAGGCTGGGGTGAGCTAGGAGGCAGAGCACTTGCCTAGCAAACCAAAAGGCAGTAGGTTCAATTCCCAGCCCCCCCCCCCCCCACGTCAAAGGAGAACTGGGCGTCATTAGCATCGCAAGAAGGTGAGAGCCAGGGACAGCAATGAAGGAATTACCAAAAACCACTTACGGTGTGGGTGTTGATGATCTCACCGATGGAGATGTAGATAACAGGCTTGGTGAGCGTCACCAGGTCGGAGTACTCGTCCACATTGAATTTGTCCTGAAGCTCAGGGACATCGCAAGCCGTCTGGAAGAAGCGTCTGGAGGAAAGGCAGGAGGCAGCGCCCACACAAGAGGATGCGCATGAGAAGGTGGCAAGGGGACCGTCCACAATCGCTCGAGCAACGAGTTCAGACACAAGCCTGGTGGGGGATTTCGCCCCAGACAAACTGCTTGCTGCATGGGATACTGGTTCTAGAAATTTTTTTCTCCACTCAGTTTTACCCACACTTAAAAAGCATACTGAACCACACTTTAAAAAGCAGGTGCTGGTGGCTCACGCCTTTAATCCTAGCTACTCAGGAGGCTGAAATCTGAGGATCATAGTTCAAAGCCAGCCCAGGTAGGAAAGTCTGTGAGACTCTTATTTCCAATGAACCATCAGAAAACCAAAGTGGTGCTGTGGCTCAAGTGGTAGAGTGCTCGCCTTGAGCTAAAGCACTCAAGGACAGCGCTCAGGCCCAAGCCCCACGACCGACCAAAAAAAGAGCAGTTCCTAGACACCTGTGCTGTCTGCCTACGACAAGGCTCTCGAGTACTGAGTTCAAAACAATGTTAATTTGCAAATATGAGAACGTGCTTTCCAGTCCTAGTGAACAGCATGGTTTCTATGCCGAGTCTTGTCTATCTCATAGGAAAGTCCTCTTCAGTCTTTGGAGCCCAGAGCACATGGAACACAGCCAGCAAAAGCTCAGTAGTACTCAACTTTGACTTTCCCTCTGAGATAATGATACGCCCACAGAACCTCTCAGGCATCTCGTACCTCCTCCCCTTACCTGAATTTCTGGTAGGACTGGGAGAGGTACTCGTTAATGATGCTTAAGTGGGCATTGTCTCCCAGAAACATTTTATTGGAGGCTGCGTGCTGGAGCATCTTCGCAATGGAGCCCAGATTTCGGCGTTGGTCTGTGGTGAGCTGGCCTCCTGCCGACAGGTCGATGATATCGAAGGCGTCGGGGGCCACAATGGCGGGGTTCATGTACCGGTAGTACAGCAGGTTACCAATAATCTGGAACAGAAGCCACATAGTAAGCCACACATGACTTTGCTAGCCAAGAAGAACAAGAAAATGCAGTCCTGCGAGGAAAAAGTAAATAAAACACACATGCACACGTGCACGCACGCATGCACTGGCACATGCATGCACGCAGGACATCACACTTTCTCACAAGGCCCAGAACTAATAAAGTTTCTGTGGCTGGTTGTGAGGAACAAAGGAGAACTGAAGAGCAGTGTGAGCAATACATGAAGAAGAACTCAGAGTAAAACCGACAGTCTTAGTGCGTGCTCTGAGGAGGCAGAGGGCGCACAGCGGGCCGTCTGCACAGAGCCGCAGCAGATTCGTTAGGGACTCAGCACGCAACCGTTTGGCAAGTGTAATCTGCCCAACCCCTCATCCTTGTCCTGCAGACTTCAAAGGCCAAGGTCATGCCTCTAAATGAAGGCTACTCAACACACATCTCTTCTATAGAGGGAGTCAAGGACAGTCACAGCATTTTCCCTGGCGTTTCATTCAGAAAAAATAAAATTAATTCACCTGGACAGAAAGTCTAGAATCGAGGCCTCACTGTAGGAAAGCACAGAACTAGGAGAGAGAAGAAAAAAGCATTCAGATTAAAAAAAGAATAAAAAAAGAAAGGAGCAAAGTTGAGTAAGAAGGAGTTATCAGCAACAGCCTTAGCAGAAACCATTGAGCTTGCTGCTGTGCACCTGGCCACCAGCAGAGGGAGCAATTACTCAGCAAAAACAGGAAAAAAATCCACCTTCCTCTACTTGTTAATACATTTTGCGCGCCATTCAGATTTCACAGGAACTGTCTCATTTGCTCTTTCCAGTTGCCTTCAGAATTCACAATCGATGCGGGTCTACCTGAGCAGAACCTGTGCTGAGGCACGCTGAGGCCTGGCCTGCGGATTCTCACCTTCAGCAGCTCGTCCTCACCAGCATCAGGGAACTTCTCATGCAAGGAGTCCTTCAGCACCTTGGCGATGAAGCGCATCCCATAGCTGCGGGAGGGACAGAGGCTGGTGAGCAGGGCGGGAGCCGGCAGACTAGTGGCCGGCCCCAACTGGGTCCAACAAGCAAAGGCACTCACGGGATTTTGTCCACAGAGCTGATGATGGCTGAGAGAAACTTGTCTGTCACAGCCCTCATGTTCCTGATGGAGTTGTCTAGCCGTGTCTTCACCTCATCGTGAGCCAGGGCCTGCTCAGGGGTCACGTCATAGGGCAATTTGCTGGAAAGCAAAGCACCGCAACAGTGAGAATGACAGCTGGGAGGGAGGGGCCGTGTCATGCAGGCAGCAAGACAGGGGGGGGGGGCGGGGGCCCGAGGGGGGGATAACCAGCTGGGCTCAGAGCTGGTCAGTGGCAAGGCTACGGTCGGAACTCAGTGTGAACGCAAGCCAGACACAGTTACGCTCAAGATGAGTAGGACATGCCATCTGACATCTCTTACGGTCTGGTGGGAGAAGCACACACGCAGGGTATCTGTAAATGTCATGTCTGCACTAAGCATGGGGCTCAAGCATGACTGAGGCCCTGATTCCATCCCCAGCAATGGAAGAGAAAAAAGTTGACTAGCAGTGCTACACAACCACACGGAGGGACGTCTACTCCCGGGAAAAAGCAAAGAGGGCTTCAGCAAAGAAAAGAGCTCAGCTCAGAAGAAAGGAGAGGAAGGGGCTTGGAGGGGAGGCAGGCTGGGCTATGGTTCACTGACAGTGTCTAGTGGGAGAGGCCCTAGGTTCAGTCCTCAGCAGAAGAAATGTAAGGAGGGAGGGAGGAAGTGTGGAGGGAAGGGAAGAAGGAAGGAAGGAAAGGAGGGAGAGAGGAAGGAAGGAAAGAGGGGAGGGAAGGAAGGAAAAATGAAGGGAGGGAGAGAGGCAAGGAGGGAGGCAAGAGGGAAGAGTAAGTCCCTTTTGTTTGGCCGGTCGTGGGCCTGAGCTCTGGCCTGGGCGCTGTCCCTCAGCTCTTCAGCTCAAGGCGAGCGCTCTACCACTTGAGCCACAAAGCCACTTCCAGCTTTTTCTGCTTATGTGGTGCTGAGGGATGCATGCAAGGTAAGCACCCTACCACTGAGCCAACTTCCCAGCCCAGTCCTTTATCTTTTTGGTCGTGGAGCTTGAACTCTGGGCCTGGGCGCTGTCCCTTAGCTCTTCAGCTCAAGGGGAGCACTCTACCACTGGAGCCACAGCACCACTTCCGGTTTTCTGGTGGTTCACTGGAAATAAGAAGCTCATAGACTTTCTTTGCCTGGGCTGGCTTTGAACTGCGATCCTCAGATCTTAGCCTCCTGAGTAGCTAGTGAGCCACCGGTACCTGGCTTGTTCATTCTGTACCCAGGGTCATCTCATTCTGCATAGCGTCAGAGAGTGAGGTGGATGTGTGCTGTTCTAATGTGGGCTAGTGCCAGCCAACGAAGCAGAGGACATGGTGTCAGAAGGAAAAAATACACCAATTCCTTCATGGAGAAAGTTTTGCTATAAAGTAAATAGGCGCTACCACCAGCAGCATGCTTAGTGACAGATCCATTTCCATTACTGGTCTGTAAGGCACCTTTGAATGGATGTGCAAAGTTCTCCCTCTCAGCTCGAGGGCTTCCTGTCATTTCCTGCGTCTACTCCACAGGAAGGAAAACTCCCACCTCCTCACCCCGGCTCTCTACAATCACAGATGCTTTGGTTCTCTGAACTTACTCTCTTAGCATTACTTTACTTGCTTTTTTGCTCAAGGCTAGAGCTCTGCTACTTGAGCCACTGCTACTTGTGGCTTTTTGGTGGTTAACTGGAGCTAAGTTTTATGGACTTTCCTGCCCAGGCTAGCTTCAAACTGTGGTCCTCAGATCTTGGCCTCCTGAGTAGCTAGTCGTGAGCTGCAATGCCCTGTGTGAGCATTACTTTCGTTTTAGATGCATTCATGGTGGTGGTTTACTGTAGCTCAGTATCCAGGGCAGCCCGCCACTCTTATCTCCTTCCATGATTGAGCAGTACCTTTGTCTCCAGAAGCCTTCCCCCCACTTGTATCTCTAGTCATGCCAGGCTCCTCTCCAGTCCTCAGCCTCCTCAGGCAGCCCGCTGGCCAGGCTGGCCCTACGTTCCCCATTAGCCCACAGCTACACGGGCTCTCCGAACCACCACCTCACACCAGCAACGTGTGCGGCACAAAGCTTCGTGAAACTCGTGCTTATTGTTATCTATATGCACCTGCTTGCTGTCCCCTGCCCCAGTCAACTATGAAGAGAGGCAGTGGACCTGTCTGCTTTAGTCCCTACCACAAGTGTGACTGTGCACAGGAAGTGAGGACAGTGATCTAAGAGCTGTGTGCACAGCCATGGGTTTGCAAGGAAAGGTAACTGCGTTGTTTTGAAGCTGGAAATGAGAAGAGGGTGAGCACACTGGGTGTCCTACCTGGCCTCCCCAGTCTGAGACTCCATCTGGTTCACCCAGGACTTATAGATATCCACTGGGTCGGTTTTGATGTTGAGAGATTTGTCGTCCATGATCTCTTTCACGACAGGAGCCAAGATCTGTCTCAGAGCATTTTGGCCCCGGGCGCCACGATTGAAACTGACAACCATCTTAATAACTGTAGGGTTTCCTGTGACAATCTCTTGAATCTGATCCACCTTTGATCTAAATATCACCAAAAGCAAAATCAGTTTAAATAGCCGTGGAATCATGAACTTGAAGATCCTGCCTCCTGAAAGCAGTTCCAGAACTCACAAATTGTTCCTGAGCCACCTCATTTAGGGAGACATGACTGGAGCCTTCATGTGTAGGTAAGTTTTTTGTTTTTTTCCAATCCTGGGGCTTGAACTCAGGGCCTGGGCACTGTCTCTGAGCTTTTGCTCAAGGCTAGCACTCTACTACTTGAGCCACAGCGCCACTTCTGGCTTTTTCTATGTATGCGGTATTGAGAAATTGAACCCAGGGCTTCATGCATGCTAGGCAAGCACTCTACCACGAAGCTACATTCCAGTCCGTATGGGTAAATTTTACTTCAAATTATATCTTTCTTTCCTTATTTTCCTTTCTTATTTTCTTTGGGAGATGCGCAGAGCAGACCTAGGGTTTGAACTCAGGGCCTGGAGCTGCTCCTGAGCTTCTTTGTGCTCAAGGTTAGTGCTCTACCACTTGAGTACAGCACCACTTTTGGCTTTTTCTGAGTAGTTTACTGGAGATATGAGTCTCAGGGACTTTCCTGCCTAGGCCTGCTTTGAACCGTGATCCTCACATCTCAGCCTTGTGAGTAGCTAAGATTATAGGCGTGAGCCACCAGCGCTTGGTAAGATGATATCTTAATAGAAAAGAAGATGTAACTGAATGTAACCTCAAACTTGAGAGTCTGAAAACTGGGATTACAGATGTGTGTCACCACATCTGGCTACATGGTAAGACCCTGTCTTTTACAAGCGGTTACTTCTTTAGTGTATTTTTCATAAATGAACTGAGATCAGGAAAAGGCACAGGCAAGGGCTGAATCTGAATTAAGTGCCCCTGTGACCACAGGGAGAGGTCTGTGGAATTGCAGAAATCTGCTCGTACTTGATCTCCTCCTGGAGTGCCGTCTTGAAGAGCCGCAGGAGCAGGTACTCCTCTCTCTGGTTGGATGCGTAGTTGTACAAGGTGAAGATCACAGAGTCCATGAACTTGGTGGACTTGTTCTGAGGCATCTGGAAGATCAGCTTGGCCAGATAGGTGGGATTGGTCTGAAAGAAAACCAAGGAAAAAGTACTTCCCTGATGATAACACGGCTTATGCAAAATGAGCTTTCCAAGCTCAAGCACTAAAGACACAGCCTTCCCTTGCTATACTGTGGTTCACTTATTGTGGTTTCGCTGTATTGTGGGTTTTTTAAAAAAACCCTAGTGATCCCTCACCTGCCGCAGGAGTTAGGTTCCAGAGACCTGCGGGAACCTGAGTGAAAGTCTGTGAAGCAGCAATAAGTGAAGGTGAGCTAGCGAGGGATGACTACCTAATGCTGCTACTTTGTGGATTTTCGCCGATCCACGTACGTGGAAGTAAGTGGCCACCACGCACGTGTGCATGTCTGTGGAAATCAGAAGAACTTCCAGAGAGATCGAAGGAAAAGTAAACTAGCAGAATTTTACAATACCACTTACTTGCAGTAGGTAGAACAGGTGCTGATAAGCTTCCAGCCTCTCTCTCTTCTCCTTGCTCAAAGCCTTCAGGCCTCCTTTCTGCTTGTTTAGCATCATCATGTCAGACAACTGTTCCTTGTTTTTTTTGGTAAGTTTTTTACTGTGGGAAACCACATCCTATCAACAGAGACCACACAAAGAGCAAAGGAGTTTTCAAGAGGAAAGCACGGGAGTGAAACTCTTGGCAGCTGCACGTCTGTCAGAGGCTGCCCGCCCGAGGGTCTGCTGTTGGTGCACCCGCTACACACTGTGAAGCTCCACCCCTCTGCAGCAGCCCAAGCTACCCCACTCCTACTTTCATGTCCCATATGGGACCTGAGCCTGATTTCTCCAGGCGGGCTTCAGGGACAAATGTCCACCCAGTCAAATCAGGAATTCAATGACTAGAAATCTACCTTAAAAATGTTTGTTTACTTATGCTCTACATTTTGGGACGGGTCTCCCTATAGAGTCCTAGCTGACCTCAAATTTGTCATCTTCCTGCCTAAGCCTCCCACTTGCTGGGGTTAGAGGCATGCACTAAACAATCTTGTGGAGTTCAGCTGTAGCTCAGTGGAAGCATTCGCCTATCATACCCAAGGCATCAGCTTACTTATAGCACAGTCCCCCCTCCCCCCCCCAAAAAAAAGAATAAAGAAAATGAAACAAGACAAAAGACAAAACATGTCTTAAGCCAAGCATGGCGTTAGCTTCGCCTAGCATGTATGAGACAGTTGGTTCAATTCCAGTCCTGCAAAGAGAAAATAAACACTAAAATCACATGCATGGTGACTCATGCCTATCGCTTCAGCTACTTGGGAAGATGAGGCAGGAGGATAATTTGAGCCCAGGTGTTTGAGGTCAGCCTTGAACACATAGAGACCTCTCTCTCTCCCCCCCCCTCCCCCCGAATGTAATCAAAGCTCATAACTTCTGCACAGAAACTGCAAAATAATCCATAAAAAGATGTGGAGACAGACTAAATGTGAAGCAGTGGTGGAATGGAGGTAACTCGCAGAGGAATGTCTAGAACATACCAAGGTTTCTAATCACACAGACAGCCCCATCCACCAACAGTGAATACAAATGTAGACTACAAGATGACTGTGAGATTTTTTTTACCTTTTTTTCTAACATTCTAATAAACTTTGATTTCAATTTAACAAACTCTCACAGCATTATCAGCTGAGAAAGAAGTTAGCTTGACTATCTCTGTGAGTTAGGAAGAGAAGCAGGGGTCAAAGCTACACAAAGTCACACAATATACGCACACAGGCCATACCTGCAGTGTGATTTTATTTTTCACAAGCAGTCCAATTTTGATGTCCATGAGATTGAGGTCATTCTCCAGCTGCTGGTTGGACCGGATGAGGGTGATGACTTCTTCCCGTATCTTCATAAGGTCAAGTTCCTCCTGGAAGTCCTGATCACTCTGGTCCAGGAGGTGGACAAACTTACGGACCACAATCATGGGAGGGTCCTCAGCATTGACTGGCATTGGAAAAAAACAGGCATCAAGGAGATGAGCTACCAGAGCCTGCTCTGAGTTCCAGTCCTGCGTAAGACACACAGCTACCACGTGCAGTCTCCCCAGTCATGCAGGGGCTATGTGGTGGCAGCTAGACAACTAGCCACGTGCTGGCCAAGGGGCTGCCACAGCCAGGCCTTCAGGACCACCTGGCTCTCAAGCACCTCAACTCTGCCCCGCTGGGCTCGTTACTCACTCAGAGTCTTGTAGTCGTCACGAGCTTTGTTTGCCCGAATAAAAGCCTGGATTTTGATGATGTCATTTATCTGAGGAACAGGAAGAACACTTTGCTCACTGTCCACAGATCTGTGACAGAAGTATCTCTCCTGGCCTGCCAACCCTCGGGACTTACGTGGTCTCGGAAATATTGCAGGCGGTCTCTGTAGCGCTTTCTGGCTTGATGCATCCTGGCCAGAGACTGAATCTGTGGGGAAGGATCCTGAGCTTAGAAATGTCCTTCAGTCCAGCTTGCCCCTCTTGCCCTTTGCGTGGAGAAGCATGCGTGGCTGCCATACCTTCACGACTTCATCTCTGTGGGAGCGCAGGTAGGCTAACCGATCTTGATATGCCTTCTTCTGCTTGTATCCTCTCCACTGGGACTAAAGGTGCCAAATATCACAGATGCTGCGTTACTTCCCAAGAATGGTGGGAGCTAAAACAGTCCTTCACGCTGATACTCCGAGTACTCTTGCACAATGAGGCAGTTCTAGTGTCGACCAAGCCCCGACATCTGCATGCCCTCATGCTCCCTCCCAGGCTCGAGCTGGCAAGTCTGGGTAGAGCATGTCAGCACAGAGTTTCACAGGTCTGGCCACACCAGGCCAGAACTCCTGACTCAGAATTCTTTCAAACCCCTTGTTTGGCTCAAGGTTCAAACCTTACCAAAAGACATAGTGACAGGCGACAAGAGGGAGGGGTGCCCCAAACTGCTGTGCCCCCCTCACACACTGTTAAGCACACGGAAAGATGAGGAAGAAGCCAGATGTTAAGAAGCACGGCTGACATTTATTCTCTTGCTCTAGGAGCCGCCTGCTGTGTGGGTCTTGGGCTGGGAAATACCTGAATGCAGGTGATAGCAGGGATTTGTTTCTTCAGGAAGTTCATCCTGGTTCGGAACTCCTGCCGAACCAGGTATCCACGGCAGCAGGCCTGCAGCTTGGTGATCAAGCCTTCGTTGGCCAGCCACAGCTGTTCTCGATTGTACGCAGCAGTCACCCCCGAGATGGAGCTCTGCAAAGGCATTTATTTCCTCCTTACTGAGGCCCACATCTGTGCGCCACCCCCTGCTAAAAAACTGCCAGCCAAGACCCCTCGCTGACATGGGTCTCCCCTCCTTCTTCCACCCACCCCTCTCCCCACGGATTGTGCTAGGCACAGTGGTAGGTTGAGTTCAACAGGCCTAGAAGGCCAGGGTGTGGAACACTCTCATACTCAGACTGCTAATGGTCTCACAAAGCACACTGGATGGGTTGGGCTGTTGCTGTGGACAGTAAGAATGTTCAGTTTTCAATCAGTGCAGCAAAACAATCAGATTTCTTTCCAGAAAAGTGGCTCTTTTGACAGAGTACCTGACCTGACAGCCCAGACTGGGGTTCTAAGCCAGGGCATGAACAAGGTGCTGCTGCTGTAGCTAGAATGAGGACAGTGGCAAAAAAATCATCTGTGACCCACTGAGATGCTCACTTGAGAGAGAGAGAGAGAATATAGCATGTTTTTGCTTTTCCTCCCTTCTGCCTTTGTCTTCCCCAAAGCACCAAAAACCAATTTCTCCCAATAGTACTGCATACTTTGTAAGTGTCAGAGTTCTGACACACTGCTGCTCTGAGCCAGTCTAGGATGTCTTCTTCTTCTCCTCCTCCTCCTCCTACCCCCTCCCCCCACCTCCTCATAACAACAAAGGAGACCTACCTGGATTTCCTCCCGACACAGCTGCCTCGAATTCTGCACGAAGTCCGGGGGCTCGTCCCACCCTCCTCCTTGCGTCTCCAGGTTGTGGTAGTAATAATATCCACCCTTGACCCAGTGCTTCACCCACTTGCTGCTGCTGTCCCCTAGTGGAAGGGAAGATAAAGAAACTGAGCCCTACTCCTCATGCCGCCTAATGTCACGTGTTCATGAGGCCTGCTTCCAAACCTGCTCTTGGATCTTCAACAGTGTAGGGGCAGCCCAGGGCTCCACTAGACTGGCTGTGTACTGTTCGAGCTCATTCATAAATGCATTAAGCAAAGAAAGCAGGGGTGGGCAGGGGGGAAAGGAGAGAGTAATGGAGGGTGATGGGATCACCTTGCATCTATCTATCTTATATATATATACATATGTAGATATGTGTAAATATAAATGTGTGTGCATGTGTATATAATGAAACCTATCAATACTGTTTGAGGATGGAAGAAGGAAGAAAAGGGGCTAATAGATAAGTGAACTCAAAATATATTGAATGCACCTATGGAATTTTCACTATAAAATCCCCTTGTACTACTAAGTCCTAATAAAAATAAAGAATTAAAAAAACCTATGAAGAAGCCAGGTGCTGGTGGCTCATGCCTGTAATCCTAGCTACTCAGGTGGCTGAGATCTGAGGATTGTGTTTCAAAGCCAGCCCGGGCAGGAAAGTCCATGAGACTCTTATCTTCAATAAACCACCAGAAAACCGGAAGTGGTGCTGTGGCTCAAGTGGTAAAGAGCTCGCCTTGAGCTGAAGAGCTGAGGAACAGCGCTTAGGCCCAGAGTTCAAGTCCCACAACCGACAGAAAACAACAACAAAAAACTATGAAGTACAGTGATGGAACTAATATGACTTTGCTCTTGTCATTCTCTACTACAACTGGCTTAACTTCCTAAAGATTTAGATAACCAGGACCACAAACACCCTGTAAAAGATGAGCCTAGCTCTCCATGCTGCATGAAAGCAAGCTTCCCCTGGTCTGTCGCCTCGTGCGCCACTGCCTCATGTCAGGCACATTTCATTTTTTTCATGACTCACCTGCTGCCAGTTTTTTCCTCTTGGCTTCAGCAAGGTCACTCTGGTAGGTCTCGCCACACTCGGGGATGACTCCGTACAAGCCAACATCCGGGGAACGGAGGGCGCTCAGTGTTCTGCCAACATCACCGCTCTCTACTGCCTCGTTAATGGCAAAAACTCCCAAGGCAACTGCCAGAAGAAAAGTATCAACGTGAAGGTCTGCAGAGTATCGGAATTCCCATGTGAATTCACCTAACTACACCTACTGGGCAGCCCCCGTCACCCTCAGCCAGAGATCTTGGTTAGGGTGGACACAGAATACCTCACTATCCTCACCCCCCACCAAAACAAGTAAAGCCATGGACACATACACCGCTGTGCTTCCTGGGTGTCTTTGTTGGACTGCCAGATTCCACCTTGAATTTCATCCAACCACAACACAGCTGACTCATCCTGGGTTTCCTATGTCATTAAAAGCAAAACTGTAAGTATCTATGTCACCAATGTCAGTAAAGATATGTGGGATGGGGGCTTCTAAGAACCAATCAGATCAGACAGGGAAAGAAGCGCCAAACACAACACATAGGGGCTCAGCAGACAAAGCCAGGCATCAGAAAACTGGTAGAGGGGCTGGGAAGGTGGCTCAGTGGTAGAGCACTTGCTTGGCATGCATGAGTCCTGGGTTCTATTCCTCAGTACCACATAAGCAGAAAAAGCCGGAAGTGGCACTGTGGCTCAAGTAGTAGAGTGCTAGCCCTGAGCTGAAGAGCTGAGGGACAGCGCCCAAGCTCACAGTTCAAGCCCCACGACCAACAACAAAAAAGCCTCGTAGAGATGAGGAGGAAAATGGCTCAAAAGTAAGGGAAGGACAGATGATGAAATCAAGTGGGTCAGCATTAAAAGGGACAAGAGGGGCCCAGACTGACGGTGGTCGCAGCGGGGACACACGCAAAGGCACAGTGCTCACCTTAGCCTCCTGTGCAGCAAGCAGCACTCGGGATGCGGACAGGCCCTATGACTACTCTCGTCTTCACATGGTCAAGTCTTACTTTAGCCAGAACCCTTTAATGATTACATCTAAAGCCTGGTGCTGCTGCAGAAAGTCTAAACTTATCCTAGATTCTATTCTAGAGCTTCACTATTGAATCAGTTGTTGGGAACTTCAAAACACATTTCACACAGAAACCTAAGAAGTGACTATCCGGGTGCCAGTGCTCACGCCTGTGACCCTAATTACTCAGAAGGATGAGATCTAAGATCTGAGGGTTATGGTTCGAAACCAGCCCATGCAGGAAAGTGACTTTTTTTTTTGATAGGGGCTTGAACTCAGGAAATGGGCGCTGTCCCTGAGCGATTTGTGCTCAAGGCGAGTGCTCTACCACTTTGAGCCACAGCGCCACTTCCAGTTTTCTGCTGGCTATAGGATTATAGGCCACCAGCACCCAGCTTTTGCTTAGTATTTCTCCACGCAAGAATCTGGCTGTCACTGTCTGATTCAGAAAAGCCACTTAAGCCCCAGGAAGTCAGCATAGCCATGGGGACTTGGCACGACAGATTATTCTACTGCTTGTATCCTGCAATTGTGAGAGCCAGAGCTGGCAACTACTGCAGACACCATTAGATCTCAGTGGCTGGACTGAGCTTGGTCAGCTAGCTGTCCCGAGGAGAGAGAGGGTTAGATCTTGGTTGCTAGGTAGTTTGTAAGCTAGCTGTTCCGAGGAGGAAGAGGTTCTTTTTGTTGTTGTTGTTAAGATGTCTTTAAGGTCTTCATGGACAGCACCAATTCAGCAGACTAGTGTAGCATTCTTCAGAAAAAGTGCACCAAGTGTTTTACATGCCAGGTGGTGAGTCAAATGTTTACAGTGTTCTTGGCAAACCTAACATGCCGCTTGGACTAACAGCAACTAGGCTGAATAGTGGCTCAGTGATACAGTGCTTGTCTCACAAGCATGAGGCCCTGAGTTCTATCCCCAGTACTGAGGAAAAACCAGGTGCTGGTGGCTCACGCCTATAATCTTAGCTACTCAGGAGGCTGAGATCTGAGGACAGTGGTTCAAAGTCAGCCTGGGGAGGAAAGTCCATGAGACTCTTATCCCCAATTAACCACCAGAAAACTGGAAATGACACTGTGGCTCAAGTGGTAGAGCTCTAGCCTTACACTGAAGAGCTCAGGGGCAGCACCCAGGCCCAGAGCTCAAGCCCCAAAACCAACCAAAAAGAAAAATCACTTACATTGTTTTATGTAAATATGGTTTCCTAAGGCTTCAATGAGGCAGAATAAAGAACTTAAGTCAACAACCATGACTGTGTAGTTCAATGTCTGGGCTTGGGGCAAAGTAGAGAGATTCTCTTCTGGACAGCTGGCATTCACAACCTTCTGGCAGGCTGGCACTCCTCCCTCCCTGACACTCTCAAGAGCCATGTGGCCACAGCCCTCCAGTTTAGTGCTGCTCAGGGTACAAAGCCTCCCAGGGCATCAGAAACTGAGAGCAGTCCTCTTTTCAAAGGATAGTTTTAGAAAGAAAGGCTAACCAGATTGCATGCCAGGCCTGTCCCACTTTTAATAAGCTCAGTCTCAGGAAAGGAAAAGGGGCACGGAATAGAACGAAGGAACGAGATGGGGGTAGCAGCAGATCCTGGTACCCTGCTCTGCTGCAGGCCCTTTCTACTGCTAAAAATAGAAAGTGACCACACAAACCCCTAGAGCCCTAGAAATAAGTGCTGGAAATGCTAAACAATAGTTCCGATGTGAAAACTACAGGGAGTCAGTACAGGCTTGGGGTCATATAAGCAAGGGGGCTGAGGTTCAGCCTCCAAAAGTAGCAGCCCTAAGTCTTTGCATCATAAAAAAGAAGCCATTTTTTGGTTCAGTTTTAGATATTCCACATAGAATATCCTTGAGTAGGATGTGCTAGCTTTACTGGAGAATTTCTGTTTCAAGTTCGCTAGTTCTTTACAAACACTTCCAAAAGTACAGATGGAACACATCCCAACTCATTCTCTAAGACCAGTGTACCTGAATTCCAGCACCACACACAAAGACACCACAGCCAACTACAGACTGAATTTGAATTAAGGTATCATACTTGCTAAATTTGTATTTGCTAAATTTGGACTTGCTAAATTTGTATTTCAGTGGTAATTTTTTTTAAACCATTCCCAAAATGGCTCATAGGACTAAGAGGCTAAACTGATGTCTAAAAACAGACAATTCTACCTAAAGGGTAGTTTACCCGATTTGGCCTGGCAATGTCAAGCAGATTTTCCTGTAATTATTCCTACACTTGTGAGGAACTCTGAAGTTATTCCACAGCTAAAGGAAAAAGTGTCAAGCTCCACCCACTTCCTCTAAAAGTTAAATCCTTTGACCAAAACCTTACCACATGAGTGAGAGCTATCTTTAGAAGTTATGTCCCCAACCTACTTTCCTTTTCACACATGGAAGGAACCTGGGTTATTTTCGCAAACCCTCTTTGAGAGTCAGGCATCAGGCTCCCAATGGACTCTCCAGGCAGTAAAAGCAGACCATGACTTCAGAATCATCCAGCCAAGCTGGTGTCAGAGAATCCCAATCAGCAGAACTAAAACCTACAAAGCTGGAATGATAAAGTAAGGTTTTCTGTGTGTGTTTGTGTGCACATGAATGCGCCAGGACTTTGTCCCCGTGTCTGAGCAGTCTACCACTTAAGCCACAGCTCTACTTCTGGCTTTTTGATGGTTAAGTCTCACACTTCTCTGTCTGGGCTGGCTTTGAATCACAATCTTCAGATCTCAGCCTCCTGAGTAGCTAGGATGATAGGCATGAGCCACTGGTGCTCAGCTCTGGAACTTATATTTTGATATTTACTTAAAGAGACATAATATAGGCTGGAGACATGGCTCTAGCAAGCACAAAGCCCCAGAACACCAAAGAGAGAGGCAGACAGAAGAGACAGACAACTATCTAGGAGCGCTGAAGAGCTCTGAAGGAAGAGCAGCCCCAATGGCGCTCACCTGGGCCTTTTCTCTCTTGGCGCGGATCAGGGTGTCCTGGTAGTGCTGGGCCACTCCCGCAAGGACCCCCTCCAGCTTGGCTGCAGGAATCTGCAGAGCCTGCAGCGTCTTCTGGGCGTCTCCTTCATCCAGAGCTTCATTAATTAGACCAATGGCCAAAATACCTAAATGCCCACAGAAAAGACACTGTGTTTCCATTAAGGAATTTACAAATGAACCAATGGTCCCTGGGCCAGTGGTACGTAGCTCAAGTCCTGGCAACTAGGGAAGCTGAGGAAGGAGTATTGCTTGGGCCCAAGGTTTGAAGTAGCCTTCTTAATTTTTTTTTTTTTTTGTCAGCCGTGGGTCCTGAACTCTGGGCCTGCACACTATCCCTGAGCTCTTCTGCTGAAGGCTAGCACTCTACCACTTGAGTCACAGCACCAATTCTGGCTTTTTCTGCGTATGTGGTATTGAGGAATAGAACCCAGGTGACCTTGCATGCATGAGGCCCTGGGTTCTATTCCTCAATACCACATACGCAGAAAAAGCCGAAAGTGGCACTGTGGCTCAAATGGTAGAGTGCTAGCCTTGAGCAAAAGAAGCTCAGGGACAGTGCCCAGGCCCAGAGCTCAAGCCCCAGGACTGGCAAAAAATAAAATAAAATAAAGAAATACAAATAAAAAAATAGAGAAAGGACAAAGCCTAGGAACCTCCTGTCTTAAATTATGCAAACAGGAGGTCAGTGGAAGACCATGCCCAGAGCTCCCTATTCCAAGGCAAATAAATAATCACTTCCAACTCACCGGCTACAGATTTTTCACAGGAAATACAAATTAAAATTAGAAACTCTTTCTCCCAGGCACCTTACATGAATTTGCTACTTTTGTAAGGACTCTACTAGATAATATAGAATGCAGCTGGTCTTTGTCCCTGATCTCAGGGAAGCAGCCTTTTTTAAACCCTAAGAATATCCTAAGTGACAGGTTTGTCTTTGCTATTTATGACGCCTTTAAAGTTTAAGGACGGGGCTGGTGTGCTGGAGAGGATTAACTGTACTACTGTGAGGCTGGGGCTTGGCTCCCATCCTATCAGCCTGCCTCGTCATCCCAGGGAAAGGAAGAAGACTGGAAATGGAGTTCAGTTACATGGCCAAAAATTCAATCAACTGTGTGTATGTAATGAGGCAGAAATAAAAATCTGGCTCTCTATCAAAGCTCAGATGAGCTTCCTTGGTTGGTGATACGCATCAGTGCCAGGAAGGGCACAGCTTTGTGTCTGGAGTACTCCCAGACCTTGTCTTGACTTATCTCCTTTATCATAAAGCTATCATCAGGAGTCAAGCACTTTTCTGAGACTCTTAAGCATGAGGGGTGGAGGGAGCCCCCACAGTTGCAGCCAATCACGCTGGAACTTGTGGCTGGTGTCTGAAGCCAGGACTGGGCTTTCAACCTGAGCACACTGGCCTGATCGCAGGTGCTTTACATCAGAAGCCCTGTTTGCGCAGCTGTAACAGTAACAGTCACATTCAACTCCAGCTGATTTCTTACTGGATCTGCTCACATAGTCATAACAATTGCCTGGCATTCTGAAAACCGTGTCCAACTGTGGTTTGTGGAGCAGTTTAGGCATCTTTACCAGCGACGCTGTCGGGGGTAACAGGGCGGCCACTCACGCTCATGCTCCTCTTGCACCACCAGGTTGACTTGGTCCACACAAGCCTGGATGTCATTCCAGGTAATGAAGGCGTTGTTCTCTGCATGTGCCTGAGCTTTCAGTTTCATCAACTCATCCAGATACCTGCCCAAGACACCAACCAAAACAGACAAACAGATGGTGTCAGGATTACTGTGCTAACAGGAATGAGAACAGGAATAAGGAACGAAGACCTCTAGGATGTCCGGTATGGGGAGTGGGGTATTGCCTCAAACAGAGTGTAAAAATGCAAGGAAAACCACTGATTCCCCAAATTCTAATTTCCAAGTAAGCCCAAATCTAGAATCAGAGGCAGCAGCTCAAGCAATTCCTCTAAAAACAAGAATGAACTAAGCATCCAGGATGAGCTGTGACTCAGCTGTAGAGCACTTGGCCTAGCATCCACCAGCATTCCTTAGTTCATTTACCAAGACACCAACAAAGCCACACACGAGTAAAATACGGACAGGGTAAGAAAGATAAATCCATAAAAAGGTCGATTTAAGCAAAAAATTATCAGGTAAAAATGTTGGGTGATAGGTAATAGGAAAAGGACTGTTTGATGGGCAAAGATTCAGAAGAAATGATGTTTTAGTGACAGAGGAATATGATAAATATAAAATGTAGAATAAGCTGTCTCCCTAATCCAGCAACAGGAAAGACGATTTTCATGCCTTTTGATAGGAGGCAATTTGAAGTATGCATCCCCAAAAACGGAGAACTAAATTATGACAACCTTGTGATTTTTTCTTTCTTTCTTTCCCCCCTCCAAAAGTGCTGGGGTTTGAGATTAGTGCTTTGTGCTTGCCTAGTAAATCTTCTACCACTTGAGCCACATGCTTTAGGTTACTTTTCAGATAGTTTTGTTTTTTTTAACATGTAATTTTTTTTGGGGGGGGGGCTGGTCGTGGGGCTTGAACTCTGGGCCTGGGCGCTGTCCCTGTGCTCTTCAGCTCAAGGCGAGCGCTCTATTACTTGAGCCACAGCACCACTTGGGTTTTTTTTTTTTTTTTTTTGTCAGTCATGGGGCCTGAACTCTGGGCCTGGGCGCTGTCCCTCAGCTCTTCAGCTCAAGGCTAGCGCTCTATCACTTGAGCCACAGCGCCACTTCCGGCCTTTTCTGCTTATATGGTGCTGAGGAATGGAACCTAGGGCCTCGTGTATGCAAGGTAAGCACTCTACCACTGAGCTGCCTTCCCAGCCCCAGATAGGGTTTTGCCCAGAAGGTTTTGCTGACTTTTTGTGGGCTACTCTCAAACACAATCCTCTGAAACTACACCTTCCAAAGTAGCTGGGATTAAAGTGTGAGCCACCATGTCTAGTAAGCTTTTAGATCTCATTTCCAACTTAGAAGAATATGCCAAATATGAGAGAGCTGGGATATTTAATAGGACAATTGGCTCCAGCACTTTAACAAGTCAGTATCATGAAAGAAAGGACCATTCTAGATGCAAAGAAACTAAGAGACATAGAAACTAGAGGCAACACAGGATCTTGGACTGGTCCCTGCTTTGGGACCATATGGAGCAGAATGAAAACAGACTAGGTTTAGAGGATTTGGTTTTTGTTGGTCGTGGGGCTTGAACTCTGGGACTGGGCGCTGTCCCTGCGCTCTTCAGCTTAAGGCAAGCACTCTATTGCTTGAGCCACAGTGGTACTTCCAGTTTTCTAGTGGTTTATTGGAGATAAGAGTCTGATGGACTTTCCTGCCTGGGCTGGCTTTGAACCATGATCCTTAGATCTCAGCCTCCTGAGTAGCTATGATTACAGGTGTGTGTCACTGGCGCCTGGCAGGTTTAGAGGATTTTAAAGAAGCATTTGATAGGAAATGGCGTTACTTTGGCTATTTGACAAACTTAAACACATATAGTGACATCACGGGGTGGGGGGGGCGGGGAGTGAGGCTGGGGCTGCAGACCAGTCCAAAACCCTACAATGGGGACTGCAGGAAAGACAGAAGAGCCCACAGTGTTCTCACCCGGCCCCCAGGTGCCCACCTCTGACAGTTCTCCTCCTCGATGTTGGTGAGGCCCGTCACTGAGCTGCTCAGCTGCTTCCACACTGTACTCATGTCTCCGGACTCCAGCGCCCTGTTGATGAGGGCCACCGAGGACAGCATCTCCACGGCGACCGAGAGCTCGGGATGCGTGAGGCTGTGCTGTACACAAGGGTGGGGAACAGTGAGGAAGGATTCTCCAGATGCTTGTGAGCGCGTGGGGACCCGCTACCACCTTGCGCCCACCCTGCACTCACTTCAGGACTCTGCTGCTGCAGGGTGGCCAGCTCCTTCTGGTACAGGTCAGCAGCGAACGGATACACCTGGGGCAGCTGGGCCTCGGGGTTCATCAGCTCCAACACCGTCTTCTCTGCGACTCCCTTCTGGATGGCGGCGTTTATGGCTGCCACAGCCGCCAGTCCTGCAGAGGACACAGGACAGAAACGCAGCGGGCTGAATCTTGAGGAGAGCAGGCAGCGCTCACGGAGGTGCATTCTGTACAGACACTGTCTCTACGTAAGTGAACATCAGCCACTCCTCATAAAGGTGTTCCCATGAGTGTGACCACGCAGTCTCTACTGTTCTCACCCGGTTTTTTTCCCCACCCAATTCATCCCACATGCTAACGCTTGTCCACCTAAACTCCTTTGCCTGCCTTCCTCTGGAGCCTGGCACGGCTGCCATTCAGCTCCCCACAAGCTCCCAGTGCTTCACCTGACTACACAGTGCCCCTCACCCCGCCTCTGCTCCTCCAGCTCCCCAGTCATCAAGTGCCACAGCAGAAGCGAGTCTTCCTAGAATTTCAGGAATTCTGTGTCACCACAGGACTTGCTTGTCACGACACCAAGCTGGGGGTGGTAACAGCCACGATGACACCCCCTGTCCCCCCCAACCTGGAAGAGCTTTCTTACTTCTCTGGTACTGCTGGGCGGCAGAGTTCGCAGCGTCCACTCCAGCCTGCACCTCCTCCTTCTGCAGGCGATCAGCCTGGCCATGCTGGGGAAGCAAAAATGGACACTGAGGACACAACATCTCATTCCCAGGCCTCCACCTGGCCCTTTCTTAACTTAAGTGCTGCTGCAAGGAAGAGGGAGCCACGCACACAGCGGTGGCTTCAGGACTGTGCAGCCAGGGCTGCACTTGGCTGGGGCCCAACTCCCTTCCAAACTCGGGAGAGTGGCTTTCCAGACACGCGACATCTTCAGAGACGCTGAAAAGCATCACAATGTTCCTCAGAAATGCGTATGCGCTGGTCGGCATGTTGATGCTGCTAACTCTGACTAACACAGGCTGGGAATTTGTCAGATGTACACCTGCCCTTACTTAGACAGAAAGAGAATGTCCTTTGTGTTCCTTAGGAAAACCGTGCAGTGTGCAATCGCACACCGCCAGCTCACACCAGTGTTCCCCAGGGTCAGCCAGGGGAGACTGGTGACATTGAGGTTGTCTTATTAAAGTGGAAGTTTCTGAAGTAAAAATGTAAAATTCAGGGTTTCCCAAAGGCTTTTTTCTGGGGAGGGAGAGGGATGGCTGAAGAGGGGTTAGATGGGGTGGGGATGGTGGAGCACAGCTCATAACTTTTCAAAAGGATTCACAACCCCCGAAGCAAAAGAGGACTGAGGATGATGTGTGCGGTGCCTAGGGACTGGAGGAGACGCTCTGGGATGGCCACAGCCAGTGTGGACGCCGCAGGCCCATGCCCCTCGTGCTGGTCCTCACCTGTCGCTTCTGCTGCCTGTCACTCAGGAGCTGCTTCAAGTACCAGTCGCTGTTGGGCTGCTGCAAGCCCCGCAGCGCCAGAGCGGGTGACTGCAGGGCCTTGAACAAGGCGGGCGCCGCCCCCTGCTCCAAGGCCAGGTCGATACTCTCCAGTGCAGACAGCGCTGCGGGCAGGAAAGGGCAGAAGCGTCTCAGACACCTACACCAGCGACAGAGGCTCCCCCACAACAAGCCCAGGCCAGGCGGCAGGACAACAGCTCAGTCTCTATTGTCTGCCTCAGAAGTGAAAGATTGTAGGATTAGAAGGAACCTTAAAGTCATTAAGCCCAGTGGGGTTTTAATCCATCTACTGGTCAGATTCCATAGTTTCCTGTGCCCATACCAATGCCTTGCTCTTTGAGGTAGACAGCTTGGTGCTGACAGACGCCTCCAAGCCAACATGGTTCCTGCATTCCCGCTAAATGCCAAGTCACTATCCAGGTAATGCCTGCACACTGCTCAGTAGTGGCAGAAAGCATCTCTGCAATTCACATCGTTGAACAATTTTACTTAGAAAAAGACAGAGAGGGGCTGGGAACGTGACTTAGTGATAGAGTGCTAGCCTAGCATGCACAAAGCCCTAGGCTGGATTCCTCAATATCACATACACAGAAAAAGCTGGAAGTGGTGGTGTGGCTCAAGTGGTAGAGTAGCAGCCTTGAGCAAAAAGCTCAGGGACGACGGTCAGGCCCTGAGTTCAAGTCTTAGCTCATGCAGAGAAGGGGCACTCAGTGCTGAGGTCACGCTTGTCAGTTGCCTGTGACTAACTGGAGCCAGGTCTCCAAGCAGAAGGACGCTGTCCTACACAATTGAACCACAACGCCACAGACTACAGAGTCTCGGTCAGGACTTAAGCTACATATCATACAGACTTGACAAAACCTTTGGAAATGCTCAGTTGTCAAGCATATTACTGGCTGAAATGGGAGATGAGCCCTCAGGGAGCAAGGAGGACGCTGCTCCCATGCTGTTATTTTCTTGAGCCACACAAGACCAAGTCTGTCTTGAGTGGCTGAATCTATGCTAGGAATCAAAATAATTTCTAAAGACGCCGAGTAAGTGATCTCTGCCTGAAAGAGTTGACAAATATATCAGACACAAAGATCAGGCAATACAAAATAATAAACCAAGAACAAAACTGTGTTTAGCCTGCATGGGATTGGAAGGTAAGGGCTAGTACTGCAAGCTGCGGAGGGTTCCACCGTGAGGGCTGGGCTGGGTGGCAAGTGCGGTGCTCAGCCGGCCCTGCGCAGGAGGTGAGGCTCAGGGCACTGCCGTGGGGAACTACATGTTTCCCATCTCAGCCAACAGCTGCCTTCAGTACCATGAGCCTGTCATCCTAGCTACCATGGAAATTGGGCAGACAAATCCACAAGACTCCTCTCTAGTTAACCAGCCAAAAATCCAGAAGTGGAGGCCTGGTTGGAGTGGTAGAGCACCAGCTACGTGAGAAAAAGCCAAGCAAGAACTGATAGCCCTGAGTTCATTCAAGTCCCAGTACCAGCCCCAAACCAAAGAAGTAGGTGTCAGCGTGAGAGTGAAAAACTGGAGTGGCAGAAGTGCTGCAGACGTGGGAGCTGCCTAAGACCAGCACCTCTGAACAGCCAGAGAACCGCGCGGAGCTCTAAGACACAGATTGAACAGGTTCACTAAGCACCTGAAATGAATACATTAAACCACGTCCTAAGTCCCAAGAGCTCAATGCACACAGGGTTGTATACAGTCAAACCAACATGCTGTTCCATACAGCGATATTCACTGTTGTATACAATCAAATCAACACACTGCCCTGTACAACAAAGGATACTTACTATTCACTTTGTTCACATTGCCTTGAATCTCTGCCTGGGTGAGCAGCTCCTCGTAAACATCTCTTTCTCTGTCCGAGTTTTCTGTCTGAGGGTGAGTAAATGTGATCACATTAGTTCAGGTGCTTGAGACCACAGAAGTCCATGCATATGCTTCTCTCCTCCACCACAGGGAAACCAAGAGTAACCGTGAGTGTGGCTCAAAGCCCTCTGCAAAGATCGGGGCCAGAGGCCAAGTGACGCTAAGTGAACATGAGCATATATTCCCTTGTCAGTGGGAGCTCGGGAGCTCCCGAGGAGGACGCAGGCGAGAGCCCTGCCCGCCTAAGTGACAGAAACAAAGAACTCCCACTCATCTGGTCGAACCACTACTAAATATCCCCATGCTGCTGATCACATGTATGGTGTATATGTGAACACCGTTATACGTTATAGACTGTGATAGACAATTTGCTCCAGGAAAGTTAGAATGAACTTGTGACTTTAAATGAGCATCAATATTCCACAATACTGTGGAATTCGGGAAATTATGTAATCACTTAATCACAATCAAAAAAAAAGAACCTCGGGGAAGGTAGGGAGGGAAGGGATGGTAGGGGGAAAACAATGGAGGGGGTAACAATGCTCAATAGGAAGTGTACTCATTACCTTACTCATGTAACTGTAACCCTCTGTATAGTATCTTTACAATAAAAAAAAATGACCTGGAAAGTAGTCATATCTAAAATATAAAGAACATAAATTAATTAGAAAGAGATGTCCTTCGTTACCCTGTTTTTGGCGCTTGTCATTTTGTCCTGCTTGGCCTGGTAAAGCACATCCTGGTAGGTGGGAGCCAGGGGCTCTTCGAGGTTTATGAGCATGGCGTTGGGGTTTTTCAGAGCTGCAAATGTGTCCACTGGAATCCTTCGGTCGATGGCTTCGTTGATAGCAATGACAGCAGCATGTACTAGAGAAAATTCAGAGCACAGAGTATGGAGACAGCAGCAGATCCCATAGAGGGCAAAGGCGCACACAACGCGGCATCCCCTATTGTAGAGAGGGGCTTCTGTGTGCAGCAGAGAATGGTGAGCGCGCTCCTTCTGGAGCCTCACAGCGCAGCTCTGCCCGGCGCCTGCTCATCCTGCAGTCTCACAGGCAAATGCTTGTAAGAGAACTGCAAATACCGCAAGAGGAAGATGGGTGTGGGGGGCACAGCTGCAGTCTCAGCACTTGGGAGGCTGAGGCAGCGGGACACTGAGTCCCAGGCCAGCCTGGGCTTCTACACACATCTCAAAGTAAAGGAAGAATAAACAAAAGTTGAGAAGGTGTGAGAAACTTTAAAAGGCACTAAAATGTAGGACTCATTTCCTGAACAAGAGTCAACAATTCTATGCTAAGGAAAGTCAACAGTTTATGTCCAAATAAGAAGACTAGAGGTAGGGGAAACAAAGGAGGAGGCAAGAATGCTTGATAGGAAATGTACTCATTACTTTGCTCATGTAATTGTAACCCCTCTGTACTGTATTTTCACAATTAAAAAAAAATAGAAAAAAAAAAGAAGAAGACTAGAGGTGTTGGAGGCCTGGTTTAGTGGTTAGAGCCTCAGCCAATAAGCAAAGCATTGAGTTCAAGTCCTGGTCTTGCAACTGGAAAAAAAAAAAAAAGAAGAAAAGAAAAAAAAGAAGACTAGAGAAATGTATTAAAGTCTCTGTGTGGACTTAACCTTGCTGACCAAACTGTTAATGTCCACCCATGATGGTGGCGGCTGTGGCCCTGATTACCGCCGGTGGCAATGATCCCACCCCAAGCCGACAATGACTCACGAGCTGCCTCATCCACCGAGAGCTCGTTGGCCAGGATGCCGCCGATCTTGCTGAAGGCGGGCATCTGAATCCCGTACTTCTCCAGCTCAATCTTCATGTTGTTGATTTCTTCTTCTACAGAAGGGGAGGGGGGCCCAGGGAGCAAGTTAAGCACCTCACAACTCAGAACAGGAAATATTCCTCAGCTACAAAATGGGGTCGGATGGCATCTACTTTTAAGTTGTAAGGACTCCAGTAAATAGTGTATGGAGGCACGCAACACAGTGGCCCCAAACCATGATCATCTTAGGGGCACCAAACGACCTGAAAGCAAGAAGGCCTCTATTTCTCATCACAGCTCAAAACTGCCACTTCTGGTATTTCCTACAATAAACTTCTGAGTAGAGGATCTCAGCAGTAGTTACAGTTATCTTTGCCTTTATAGAATCCTAATCACTGCTGCTATTCGACAATTTTTCTTCTTTTTTTTTTGTGCCAGTCCTGGGGCTTGAATTCTGGACCTGGGCACTCAATGCTAGCTCTCTACCACTTGAGCCACAATACCATTTCTGGCTTTTTCTGGTTTTCTTCTTTAGAGATTGGAGTTTCATGGGCTTTCCTGCCCGGGCTGGCTTTGAACCATAATTCTCAGACCTCAGCCTCCTGAGTAGCTAGGATTATAGGTGTGAGCCATTGGCCACTGGCTACAATTTCATTTTTTTAAGGCAGAAAGCCAAATGATAAAGAAAACAACATGTATAGTTTGGCTTTGGCCCAAGTCTAGTGAACAATCTTCCTGGAAGGAAAAGTATCAAAGTTAAAAGGTGTATTACTCATTTTAAACACTCAGGCCTATAAAATAACCACCAGTTTGAAAGATGGGATCTCTCTCACGCCTAACTTACCACCTCTGCCCTACGTCCCCAGGCCTCCGTCTCCTCAGTCACCTGAATAGCCATGTACACGCAATGCCAGGCTATTTGGATGTGCTGTGTCTCCAAGGCTCCTACACTGGAGCCTTGGTGCTCAGGTGAGCAATGGGAGAGGCACGAGAGCTCTAAGTGGAGAGTGGAAGGTCCTCAGCTCTCTGGAAGCACTGCCCTCAGTTCTGGCAGTCCCAGATCGCACAGAGCAAGCCTTACCCACCCGGCTCTCTGGCTCCTGTATGGCAGTGATCTCTCACACAGGTGCTCCTCCAGAGGCCAAACCAATGGGCTTGCTGGATACGGGACTTTTGGCTCTCCCCAAAATGTGAGCTTTAAATAAGCCCCTTTTGGGGCTGGGAAGGTGGCTCAGTGGTAGAGTGCTTGCCTTGCATGTGAGGCCCTGGGTTCAATTCCTCAGCACCACATAAGCAGAAAAAGCCGAAAGTGGTGCTGTGGCTCAAGTGGTAGAGCGCTCACCTTGAGCTGAAGAGCTGAGGGACAGCGCCCAGACCCAGAGTTCAGGCCCCACGACCAGCAAAAAAAATAAAATAAAATAAATAAATAAATAAATAAATAAGCCTCTTTTCTTTGTAGAATTATTGAGCTGCAAGTATTTTTTTATGGGAACAAAATGGGGCTGGGTACTGGTGGCTCATGCTACTCAGGAAGCTGAGTTACAAGGATCAAGGTTCAAAGCCAGCTCAGGCAGGAAAGTCTGTGAGATGCTTATCTCCAATAAACTACTCAGAAAAAGCTGGAAGTTGGTGCTATGGCTCAAGTGGAAGAGTACCTGCCTTGAGCACAAAGAGGCTCAGGGAAAGCACCCAGACCCTGAGTTTAAACTCCACGACCAGCAAAAAAGCAAACAAACTGACAAAATGGACTGACTAATAGGCTTAGAAACACTCACCCAAAGAAGTGTAAGCTGAGATATATTGAGCTATTGCCTTGCTTGCCCTGCAGTAGGTGCTTGCTAGAAGGGACCATGCGTGAACATTTAAAGCTGGCTGTTAACCCTACTATACTTCCTACAGATGAACATTATCTCAAAGAGATATTCATTTATACATACTTACAAAGATTCCCAACCTCAAATCCTCTCCACCACTACAGGACAAACATGTTAGTTACATTTCTTCCATCTCCCTTGCCAGAGTATTTTTAAAGTCCTCAATGTCTAAAATGGGAACGGTTGGCTTTCCAGGCTATTTCCACATAAAGCAAACATTCCTTGCTAACTTTGTAACTCCTTACCTGTGAAGTCAACCTTGCCATACAGGTCTTGAATCTGAGGTGCCAGCCCTAGTTTGAACAGGTACAAACTAGAAGACATAAAAGGAAAGAGCTGAGCCTCTGCTGTGGCAGCTGCTGCTGCCCATAAAGAATAAAACCATTGTGGGCAGAGACTGGGGTGTGCCCCCTAGGTCCCTCTGCTGCTACAGGCTTTGACTTCAGATCAGATTTTAGCTTTACCTATTAACACTGTCCTAAAAAGTCAATGCAACATCATGCAAACAGTAGACAGGGAAGCCTGACAGAGATCTACGGACAACTAGAAACTAATACTAGTGTCATATTTAAGTGACGTCTCCTCAGTTCACCTCATCTTTCTGTAATCAGTTAAGAAGACATTTTAGAAAAGGCTTGAGAAAATGATCCAGATACCAAATCGCACTCAAGCTGAATTGGTATTATTGATGTAAAAGTTCAGTTCCGGTAATTTAAGAGTTTTAAATAAAGTTCACCCTATATATCTTTACTTTTCAAATAAAAAGTACATCTACTAGACCAGCTCCATGCAGGTAGAAACAATAAAATCTCATTTGCCAATGTTTACCTAGAACTAGCATACTTTAATAAGTATCAATCAACATTTCACAGATAAACAAATGTCTATGTGCCTGTGTTAATAAAGCTTGAGCAGACCAGAAGCGATGAAGTAGAAGAGTTCTGAAGGCTTGTTTTAGGCTGACACAATCAAGCCATAGCAGCCTACCAGCAAGAGAAAAAGTAAGAATCCATCAGAAGCAAATTCTAGAAACATGTTTAATTGGCTTCTCACAAATATCTTAAACCTCAGCATCACCTACGTTCAAAATTATGGATCAAGCACACAGCATCACAGAACTGACCAGATCTTAAAATGAGTAATAAAGCCAAATGTAAACTCAAAAAAACTCAAAACCAACCATAGCAAGTATTCTGAAAACTCATTGTTTATACATCCATGCAGCTAATCATCTCAGAAATGTGAGTATAAGTCATACATATATAATTAGACGATTTTCTTGGAATATAATGTCATAAAGTTTCTCTCTCCAAAGATTTAAATTTACCAAAAAAATGTTTCCAAAGCAAAATAACAAATAGCTTTCTATACATGTAATATGGTCCTTTAAATGGCTTTCAGACTGCCCGGCATTGCTGGCCTTCTAAACTAGCAAAAATGTATTTCTCTCTTGGATTTTTTTTTTTACCCCCATTCTGAAATATAACACTGGTTGCCACTGTTCTCTAGAGCCGTGAGATGAGTTCACTTTCAATGTCTTTCAATAGCAGACTAATTCATGGCACAGTATCACTGGCTGACAATGAAGAAGAGCCTGGGTGCCATCTTCCCTAAACCTTTAACTTTTTTTTCTGGGGGGGGGGGGGGGGGGTCCGGTCGTGGGGCCTGAACTCTGGGCCTGGGCGCTGTCCCTCAGCTCTTCAGCTCAAAGCTAGCGCTCTACCACTTGAGCCACAGTGCCACTTCCGGCTTTTTTCTTTTTGCTTATGTGGTGCTGAGGAATCGAACCCAGGACCTTGAGCATGCAAGGCAAGCGCTCTACCACTGAGCCACCTTCCCAGCCCCAACCTTTAACTATTAGGTAGTTTCAGGAGTAATTGTGTGTGTATGTATGTGTGTCTGTCTGTCTGTGTGCTGGTCTAGGGACTTGAACTCAGGGTGTGGCGCTATCTCTGAATTCTTTTGCTCAAGATTAATGCTCTACCACTTGGAGCCACAGCTCTAGTTCTAGCTTCTTTGGGGGTAGTTAGTTGGAGACTTTCCTGCCCAGGTGGGCTTTGAACTGCAATCCTCAGATCGCAGCTTCCTGAGTAGCTAGGATTACAGGCATAAGTCACTGGCAACCAGCCAGAAGCTTTATTTTGATGAAATGCTATTGCCTGTTTTAGTTTGTATTGCTGAAGCTTCTGAGTAGCATTTTTAAAAACTCATGGCCTAGTCAGGAGACTAAGATTGGTTAGAAGTTAGCTCAGACAGACAAATCCATGTGACTCTTATCTCCAACTAACTAATCAAAAGCTAGAACTGAAGGCGTGGTTCAACCGGAAGAGCATCAACCACACGCGAAAAAGCTAAGCACTGTAGAGAAGGGGGTAGGACAGTCACTAGGTAGAGGAGAAGGGGTAGGATCGTCTCTAGGTTGAGGCTCAGCCTAAGAAACAGAAGAAGAAAAAATAAATAAAGTGTGTGGGGAGGGAAGAAACGGGAGGGCGGAGGATATAGCTTGTTAGTAAAACTCTTTGTCTAGTGTGTACTTGAGACTCTGGGTTTAGTCCCAGCATATCACACACACACACACCCCCAACAACCAGGGACAGATAAGGCCCCTTCCCCTCCCCCCCCCCCCCCCCCCCCCGCGGGTTTAGGCCCAGCATATCTCACACACACACACACACACACCACCAACAACCAGGGACAGATAAGGCCCCTATCCCCCCCCCCCCCCCCCCCCCCCCCCCCCCGTCACCGTGGAAAGGAAGGAACCTATCGGGAAGGAAGGTGCTAAACAATCATGCCCACTCCTCATGTCCATTGATGCCAGCCCACCTTTCAAGAAAAAGACCACATGAGAGAGGAAAGAAACCATGGGTCCCACAGCGACACACACAGCACCTATGCATTCTCTAAGCACAGGCACACATGCATGAGAAATGGAAAACAATAGTGGACTTCCTCTCTTTGTCACTTTGACTCCATTATTAATTAGAAAGGCACAGTTAGTTCTTCATCTGTATTTCAGAGACCTGAGGGCCTGGGACCCAGGTTACATGAGTGGCTGTAGAGCTAGTAGGAAGGAATTCTGCCAGCCTGGCCTGCGTGCCTGCCAAGGTCACAGAGCCATTGTTGGTAACCTTCACAAGGTTATCGACATAGGAGGCTTCACGTAACACTAAGCCAATCATGATGCCTAGAATGAAGCTGATTCTGGCTCAGACACATTGGAACTGCTACAGCCCCAATACAAGAGATCTACAACTCATCAGCTCTCATCACTCTTTTAAGTATGTTAAATGGATTTTAGTGCTAACAATGACCCAACATACATGAGACCAGAAATCTAGAGACAGGGCTTGGAGCCTAGCACAACGGAGAGTACCAGGACGACAGGCTTCTCTCAGACCAACATGATGCACACGTTCACTCAGAGAATTTTTATCAAACACATTCACAACATGCTATAAAGAAGCACTCCAAGCAAAGAAACCCTGCATCGTGTCGCATTTGCTTCTATCATTGTCTCTAGACCCATAGCCAAGTGGCTGAGCTGCAGGGCGGCCTCTGTCCTGTATTTACTGCAGCATGCAGACCAGAGCATCACCGCAGTGTCTCCCCTTCTATCCTACTCTCCTCTGGACCGTCTACCTTTTCCCTATAAGACAAGGCTGAGTTGAATCAAAGAACCCAGAACTTGAAATTAACATTTTCCAATCTTGCATGAAACATGAAATAAAAACAAACAACGAGTTAAGTTTCAGTTCCTATTGGCATACTTGTGTGGTTATAGCATTTTTAGTGAATGGGTGGATGGCTTTATAACAGCAAGGACCTAGATGACTAAATAAAAGAGAGTGCCCAGCCAGTGGCTCACATCTGTCATCCTAGCTACTCGGAAGACTGAGATCTGAGGATCCCAGTTTGAAGCCAGCCCTGGGCAGAGAAGTCTATGAGACTCATCTCCAATTAACCATCCCAAAAAACTGGAAGTGGGGCTGTGCTCAAGGTCGTAGAGCACTAGTCTTGAGCACAAAAGCTGAAGGACAGCACCCAAGCCCTGAGTTCAAGCCCCATGACAAACAATACTTAAAACCCCACAGAGAGACACCTGCTCAACAATGGAACATTATGCCATGTTTTTACAACAAAATTATCTGTTATTATAGGAATATAAAAGTCTTTGTCTCTGCTCTTTAGAAAAACACAGCTGTTTTGTTTCTTTTCTTTTTTTTTTTTTACTGTTTGGTGGGGCTAAAAGCCTTCTCTTCTACATGAAAATATTGAAGCAAACAGGCAAGCATGTCCAGTTCCATACCACAGACAAAATGCACAAGTGAGAAGTTATTCTTTGTGCGCTCGTTTTGGCAGGGAAACTGGCTCACCTGAGCGCATGGATGCAGTAGATGCATCGCGGCATGTTCTTCCGATCATAGATGTCTGTTGTTTCTGGGTAAAAAATCTAGGGAGAAATAAGAGAAGGAGAATCGGTTGCCCATTTGCTGGTTTTGTTTGATCATTCATCAATCATCAGTAATAGATATAAAAATACAGACAATTAGAAAACATTATCGGCGCCGGGCGATGGTGGCTCATGCCTGTAATCCTAGCTACTCAGGAGGCTGAGATCTGAGGATCACGGTTCAAAGCCAGCCCGGGCAGGAGAGACCGAGAGACCGTGAGACTCCTATCTCCAATAAACCACCAGAAAACCGGAAGTGGCACTGTAGCTCAAGTGGTAGAGCGCTCGCCTTGAGCTGAAGAGCTGAGGGACAGCGCCCAGGCCCAGAGTTCAAGCCCCACGACCGACGACAAAAAAGAAAAAAAGAAAACACTATCGGCATTTAGCAAATAACTTCTTTAGGGCCAATGCTCATTTCAGTGTAATTCAAAATAAAAATAACTATTTAGGAAAACTCTATTTTGGTCAGCCCACTAAATTCCATTAAGTGTGTGAGGGTGAGGTACTTACGTCAGACTCAGACCTAGGCAAATGGAATCAAAGTTCTAGTTTAGTTTAAGTTACTGGCAAGTGTCTGAAGCTCAAAATCTCGTTCTTCCATCTACCATCTACCAATGTAGACCAATTCTTGAACACCCCAATGGCAAAAAAAAGAACTTCAGCACTTTGCTCTGAAAACTCAAGGACAGAAGCTAGCCTTCTGCAAAGACTCAGCTCTGGGGCTGGGATGTGGCTCAATGGTAGGGCCCTTGCCTAGCATGCACAAGGCCAAGCCAGCACTATAGGGATGGGGGTGGAGGGGTGGGGGAGAGAAAGACTCTGCCCTGACTCAGGTCAGCTCAACAGATATATAGCTTTATATGTAACCATGAGCTCTCTGAGTAGCATGCTAAACAGGAAGTGCTTTTAGCCACTTTCTAATACTTCACACCAAACTCGTATTCTTACTCTTTACTTGGTTACAAAAACTTACACTTCGTAAGCTCCATCACACTGAGATGGAACAACTATTTCCTTACAAATATTTCCCAAGCACCCATTTTATTTTCACACAAAACAGTGGTCTCATGTCAGCCAGACAACAATTCTTATATAATCTTCAAATGGTTTTCCTCAGCTCACTTAATACAAAATGGGCCATTTTAATGGCCTTAGTATTTAACTAGTTTTAACACAAATAATACTCCTAGTGAAGGAATGTATGGCTTTTTCTATTATAAGCAATTTGGAAAAATCCTTAAAACACATCTTTTTGTGTTTTTCTGACTTTTAGGGGGTTGGAGTTGACAAATTTCCGGTCAGCTACAGCCAGGGTTTGGCCAGAGTGCCTATGTCAAAGACTAACTTGAAAGAACAAAAAATTAACTACATCTCTAAGAGCAACAATACAGCACGGCTTCTGGATAGCTACGAGCTAGCTGGTGATGGCAATTTCACTAAAGGCAACATACCAACTTGGGTAAAACCCTCAGCGGGTGCACTAACCACTTTCAAAACTACAGCCATCACCAGAGCAGAGAGGGGAATAACTGTCATTCTATTGCTTCTACAATTAAAAAAGAAAACAAAAACAACAGAGACAGGGGAAAAGGAGCAGTCCTGGGATTTAAACTCAAGGTCTCACACCGACCAAGCAGGCACAATACTCACTTGAGCCACGGCCACAACCACTTAAAATATGTGATGACCTTCTTACTCATTGCAGATTTGGTTGCTTTAAAGCTGGAAGATGACATTTCTAGTATATTTCCTAAAGTCCAATTTTTAGAGTAACAACCTGTGACCAATTATGTACTTTTAAAATGGGGAATCTTGCTGGGGACTGCTGGCTCACACCTGTAATCTTAGCTCAGGAGACTGAGATCTGAGTTTCAAAGCCAGCTGCCTCAAGAAAGTCCATGAGACTCTTATCTCAAATGAACCACCAGAAAATCAGAAGTGGAGCTGTGGCTCAAAGTGATAGAGCATTAGCCTTGAGTAAAATCACCCAGGGACTATGCCCAGGCCCTGAGTTCAAGCCCCACAAGCAACCAAAAAAGCAATAATAACAATAAAAATAAAAATACACAAATAAGTGAAATGAGGAATCTTTATCTATGCCAGCCAAGGCAGCCAGCTGGAACAGCTGGGTGTAGTAGTGCATCCCGGCAGTCTTAGAACTCAGGGAGCAGAGGCAAGCAAACCACTTTCATGCAAAATTACAACTGAACTAAACGTGAATCTCTTCACAGGGAATTTCTCTAAGGTGAGGTGGAAAAAGTACAAGTACTATAAAAGCAAAGGAATAAAACTGTTTCCTGACTCAAACTAAAAGACATCCTTTAGTATATTAAGAAGAAAAAAAAAGAAAGCCAGATTTTAATGCACATCTGTAATCCCAGCACTCTGGAGGCTCAGGCAGGAAGAGGGAGGGAGGGAGATTTTTTAGAACAACTTTACAGGCAGATGAGAACAGAGTTATGAAAAGCAGGTAAGTTACCTTGGGCAATCCAATCTCATCCATGGCATTCAACCACTGGATCACGTTGTCGGTGTGTCTGAAGTGGAGGCCAGTTGCCTAAAAGAAATAAGAGATCATCAGGGCACTGCTGGCAATTATGAAATAAAATCTCATCTTGCAATTGAAGGTCATTTTGCCCACATTCCACTACCAAGAAGCCAAACACCAACTCCTCACTTAAGAACCATATGGAGAGGGCTGGGAAGGTGGTCAGTGGTAGAACGCTTGCCTTGCATGCATGAGGCCCTGGGTTCGATTCCTCAGTACCACATAAGCAGAAAAGGCTGGAGGTGGCACTGTGGCTCAAGTGGTAGAGCGCTAGCCTTGAGCTGAAGAGCTGAGGGACAGCGCCCAGGCCCAAAGTACAGGCCCCACAACCAGCAAAAAAAAGTGCCACAGTTTTTCTTCCTTGTGCTGGTGCTTGAACTGGGGGCCTCATTCACAGCTGGCACTCTACCACTTGGGCCAGGCCTCCAGTGTTTTGCGGGTTATTGGATTTGCCTGCCCTGAGCTGGCTCTCCACTGCAGTTCTCAGAGCTCCTGAGTAGCTTACATTGTTCTCCATCTTTTATGTGGTGTTGAGCAATCGAACCCAGGGCCTCATGCGTGCAAGGCAAGCGCTCTACCACTAAGCCACCTTCCCAGCCTTCCTCCATCTTTTACACTCGTCCTTTCTTGACCAGGAGTCATAGGCTGGGTTCTTTTGGGAGCTCTGTGGACACCAACATTTCATCCTTGCCAACTTACTGACCAGTCTTCTTGTTAGGGCCTGAGTCACAAGAATCAAACATTTCCTGAGACAGAATGGCTTTTCCATCTACCTCTAACTTCAATACAGAATAGTGATGCATTCTACTAATGTTGCTGTAACTAGAGCACCTGCCGGCAAATCTCAGCACTTGGATAAAATTAGCTTTAAAGTAGTAATTCCCCTCGTTACTTTCTCTACTTTCTTAGAATGGAAAGGTTCATGTGGGACTCTGGAAATTTCTAGATGCACCCCATCACCATACTGGCTCCACCAGGTGAAGGGCAGTGGTAGAGAACTTGCGTGGCAATGCACAGACCCTCAATTTAACCCCAAGATTGACAATGACGACACCCTCAAAAATCTACCTGAGATCCGCACAGCTAAAGCTCCTTTACTGCTGACTCTCAGCTCTGCACTCTTCCTCCAACCTGCCAGGCCCTCAGATGGCCACACTTGGCTGGAATAAACACATCTTGCACACGCTCAACAGCTCACACACAGAATAAAGCACACTAACATCCTGGGTTCCTAGAAATCTAAGCTGTGGGAAGAGAGAACTCACCTTGTACCTGGTCTGCTCTCGGTCATAGATTTTTTTCAGGGACACCACTTTGGGAGAGAAGAAGTTGCCTAGTTTGGCAAGGTACACTCCATTCCTCAGCCCCTCCTCCAGCTCTGTGGTGGGTGGCAGATCCTCCCCTAGGCATGCCTCCATCCACCTGGACAAAAGAGAGAGGCAAGAAACAAGAGGGAGAGTTAGATTCTTCTTCAGAAACTTCCAAGCCTCTCTCAAGACACATATCGAAAGTCACTTCCTGGCAAGCTCTGTCTGTGAGGCCCCTAGCATGGGAGAATGCTGAGAATGAGTGCCACCTCTCTGCTCACTGTAGCAGCCCTGTGAGCCTCAGGCTCTTCTCAAGTCCTTAAAGTCCTAAGAAGAGTCACAGTGGCCTCTGCCTGTAATATCATCTACTCAAGAGGCAGGGGAAGCTGGGCGCTGGTGGCTCATGCCGGTAATCCTAGCTACTCAGGAGGCTGAGATCTGAGGATTGTGGTTTGAAGCCAGCCCAGGCAGGAAAAGTCTGTGAGACTTTTTTTTTTTTTTTTCCATTTAAGAAGTTTAATGAAAATGCTACATAAGATTACTTCAATCCTACATCTTCTCAATTGTTTCTTCCTTATATTTGCTTTTTTCCTATCCGACTTGGCAGGATTTGGCTTTCTGTTCCAGGATGGTTATCCTGTTTCAGCCTGGCGATAACTACCTTGCTGGGGTCAATGCCCAGGCAGACAGTGGAGCCATCAGCCTTCTCCCACTGCACCCATTCAATGTAGATGACATACTTCTTCCTGTAAACCTGGACCACCATGCCAATCTGCTGACCTTTACAGTGTCCTCGTACAACCTGCACCTCCTCATCCTTTCGGATGGGCATAGACTGCACACACTGTACTTCTATCTCAGCTCTTTGGAAAGAGGGGAAGACACAATCTCCCTGCGCATGTGGGAAGGTGCACTGAAATGCCCTTTCCAGTTCTTGCTTCAGCCAGAAGTGACAAAGGGACTGAACTTCATTTTGGCAGCTCCAGCCTCAGCAATGGCTGAAAGAGGAAGAGGAAACTTTTTTTTTTTTGGGTCCAGTCGTAGGGCCTGAACTCTGGGCCTGGGCGCTGTCCCTCAGCTCTTCAGCTCAAGGCTAGCGCTCTACCACTTGAGCCACAGCTCCACTTCCGGCTTTTTTCTTTTTGCTTATGTGGTGCTGAGGAATCAAACCCAGGGCCTCAGGCATGCAAGGCAAGCACTCTAACCACTGAGCCACCTTCCCAGCCCCAAGAGGAAACTCTTATCTCTAATAAACTACTCTTAAAAAGCCAGAAGTGGACCTGTGGGTCAACTAGTAGAGAACTAGCCTCGAATACAAAGAGGCTCAGAGACAGTTCCCATGCTCTGAGTTCAAGGCCCAGGACTGGCAAAAATAAAAAAATAAATTTCTAAACTATAGTGTGTGAATTTATCATGCTCTTACAAATTGTTTTTAGATCTGGGTGCTAGTAGCTCATGCCTATAATCGTACTACTAAGGAGACTGAGATCTGAGGATAAAGTTCAAAGCCAGCCCAGGCAGGGAAGTCTATGAGACTCTTATCTCCAATTATCCAAAAGCTGAAAGTGGCACTGTAGCTCATGTGGGAGAGTACTAGCCTTGAGTGAAAAGCTAAACAAGAGCTTGTAGCTGAGTTCACACACCAGTACCAGTACATACACACAAAAATAAGCTGTGCTTTTATAATTCAGAATAAGAGTACTTATGTTAGTTTTATATTTTAAAATTGAGATACGCTCAGTCTTTATAAACACACATGCATACACGCACACACACACACACACACACACTCACACTACAAAGCCAAGCACCGGTGGCTCACGCTTATAATCACAGCTACTCAGGAAGCTGACATCTGAGGATTGGGGTTCAAAGGCCCAGAGTTCAAGCCCCAGGGTCAGGAGAAAAAAAAAAGCTGGGAGGGAGGATGAGAGGAGTGACAGTGTCCAAAAAGAATATACTCATTACCTGATTTATGTAACCACATCCCCTTTGTCCATCACCTTTATTTATTTATTTTATTTTATTTTTTTGCTGGTCCTGGGGCTTGAACTCAGGGCCGCAAGCTCTACTTCTGGCCTTTCAGGTAGAAAAACTAATTTAAATGGCCAAAAAGGAGGTAAAAGGAAGCAAATGTGTTTCCAGAAGAGCTGTCCCGTGACTAGCACAGATACCAACCGCCAATGCTGGCACACACAAGCTGAGCTCCACACAGGCCTGGAGACCATGGCGGTCCCTGGACGAAACAGCCAGAGCCCAAGGAGGACACCTACCTCAGAATTCTTTCCCGTATTTACTGCTGAAAACGATGCAGATAAAATCATTCTGGGGAACAACTGCTGGCAACCCCAGCTCTCGGGGGACACTCTAACGTGGGTTCTCATTAACAAGGACAAACCTAGCAACCACAGTCTAAGCCAAAACCTGCCCTCTGGCACATAGTAAGAAGCGAACAAAATTACTTATTTTCTTCTCAAGATCACAGGAATGCGCAGGCACAGACTGTGGCTGGAGAGCGTGGAGACAGCGGGGCGTGGTGGCTCACAGCTGGAATCTCAGTACTTGGGAGGGAGGCTGAGGCTGTGGGCTACCTAGTGAGACTATCTCAAGAAAAAAGAAAATTGTACTTTTCCTACCAAAGGTAGGCCAATTACCAGAGGTAATTGAGTTTGCCTCTTCTCTGAGATATTACTGTATTAAAATAAAAATAAATAGAAGGCTAGCTGCTGGTGCTCCTGCCTGTAACCCTAGTTACTTAGGATGCTGAAATCTGAGGATTTCAAAGCCAGCTTCAAAGCCAGCCCAGGCAGGAAAGTCTGTGAGACTCTTATCTCCAATGAACCACCAGAAAACTGGAAGTGGCTCTACAGTGGTAGAGCGCTCGCCTTGAGCTGAAGAGCTGAGGGATAGCGCCCAAGCCCAGAGTTCAAGCCCCAGGACCGACAAAACTCAGGAAATATTTCTGACTCCTCAGGACAGCACTGATGAGTGGTGAGGCGTGCTGCGTACCAGCTTCTACCCTGCCTTCAGGGAACAGGTGCAAACAGCAGCTCCTGAAAGAAAGTGTGCCAGAAGTACAATGAAAAGTTCTCAATCTTGTATTAATCAAAGAAGTGCAAATGCAGAAATGGAAAAGCATGGCTTTCCAGCATGTGGGGACCCCTCGTCCTCACCGGGGTTCCAGAAAGTATCTGCCACCATGCATCAACAGCAAACTATAGAAACTTCTATAAAAGGAAAAGGAGAGGTTTTATTGTTAAAAAGGGACTTGGTGGCTGTGGCAAGGATGACTAAGTAAGCACGGATGCCATGTGACCCACGGGAGCAGAGGGGCGGGGATCCAGATCTGAAACAAGCTCGGCTTCACATGTCAACGGCGGCGACATCCTGTAGGCAGAGGGAGGGAAACCCAGGTCTGAGAAATGCCTTTGCAGATGGGGGGGGGGGGGCACCAAGCTCTCCAGGGACTGAGGATGGCGATGGTGGAATGAGTCAGGATGGAAGCATGTGATGGCCACTGAGGAAGCAAAAATTTCAGGAATCTGGAAGACGTCCTCACCTCCAACTGCTTCAAAAGGCTGGTGAGGCAGAGAAAAGGATGTGGGCAAATACAGAAGGAAGCCGGCCAGCCTTCGACCCCAAGAGGGCAGGCTCAGTGGACTGGGGCAGGGGCCACTCAGAGCAACCAGAAAAATAATTTCACGTGGTGAAGCAGAGGGGACAGACGCTTTCCAAGTTCAAGCACAGCAAGTTTTCCAATGCAATATTCTGCGGATGAACCACTGCCCAGCCACGAATTTCCTGAAACACTCGCCGCTGAGCCCTCAGCTACTGCATAAAACCTGAGGGCCACTGTGAGAGCCCCCAAAAGCCGAGCTGTGAGAGCCGAAAGGACTGGGGGATGGAATGCTCCACCGTCTGGCGTCTGCTATTGTCTTGTCCCCAGTGGCCACAGCTTGCCACAGGCCACCTTCCAGAATGAGGAAGGAGGGCTGGGAAGTTGGCTCAGTGGTAGAGCGCTTGTCTTACATGCCTGAGGCCCTGGGTTCGATTCCTCAGCACCACATAAGAAAAAAGCCAGAAGTGGCGCTGTGGCTCAAGTGGTAGAGCGCTAGCCTTGAGCTGAAGAGCTGAGGGACAGTGCCCAAGCCCAGAGTTCAGGCCCATGACCGGACCCCCCCCCCCCAAAAAAAAAAACAGAACGAGGAAGGAATTCTTCCTGATAGCAAGGACTGGTCTCTGCTGGCCACCACTGGAAGACGGACACCTAAGAAGCCTGTCCTCCTCCTCGTGCTGCGCCTTTGGGGTGCTGTAAGAGGGGGAGAAGAGCATACCCAAGAAGAAAGAGGGTTGCATGAGAAAGGAAACATGGGCAGCCTTCCTGGGCGCTGGCCTTTGCATGGCACTGCGGGGCAAGTGTGCTCAGCCTCTCCCACAGACGTCTCATCTGATTTACAGTGTCATCTGATTTACTGCACCAACAAACCAGAAGACACAGTACTGTGCCTTTGTTAATAAAAGACTTAAGTTAACTAACAATAGAAAATAATAAAGGCAAAGCACAAGCATGGTGGTGCATGCCTGTAATTCCAGCATTTGGGTGGTCGAGACAGGAGAATCTAGAGTTTAAGACCAACCTGGGCTATATAGTGAGACCCTGACTCAAAAACAAAAACAAGCTGGACACCAGTGGCTCTCACCAGCAATCCTAGCTTCTCAGGAAGCTGAGACAGAAGGATCAAGGTTCCAAGCCAGCCTGGGCAGTAAAGCACATGAGAATCTTTATCTCTAATTAACTACCAAAAAGCTGGAAGTGGAGCTATGGCTCAAGTAGTAGAACACCAGACTTGAACAGAATAAAACTAAGGGACAGCATCCTGGCTCTGAGTTTGTTCTAGTATAAACACACACACAATAATAATAATAATAATTTTAAAAATACATGGCTGGGGATGTGGCTTAGTGGTAGAGCGCTTGCCTCGCATGCATGAAGCCCTGGGTTCCATTCCTCAGTACCTCATATACAAAAAAAGCCAGAAGTGGTGCTGTGGCTCAAGTGGTAGAGTGCTAGCCTTGAGCACAGAGAGGCTCAAGGACAGTGCCCAGACCCTGAGT